GGACGGCCACGCACAACTGGCTGAATGCCACTGAGGGAAGGGTGGGGTTAGCTGCCATGAAAGGGACCTCCCCTCCGGTGTTCAAACTAAAGACGAGCAGCTCAAAGGAGGGCAGGGAGGAAGAGTCAGCCTGCACTTGCTCGTTCCCCCCTACAAACGGTCACGGGGACTGCGGCCGACAGTCAGGAAGGGGAAAAACACTCCACTGGCTGGCATCATAAAAATAACTGGTCGCTCTCCATTTGCAAAGGGGGAGCTTCATAAAGCTCTATTTCAACAGGGAAGCTACTACACACAAACAATGCCTAGGCAAACGCTCCAAGCATTAAAGACCCAAATGAAAAGTGAATAATAGTGCAAAAAAACACAGGGAAGATGATTAAACAAAGTTTGGGCGGATTAAAAGCATCAGATGCCACCGTACCATTTTGATTTGCTCGAGATTAATCAAAACCAAACTGCTGACCTCCATGCCAGACTACAGCTGTGTCCCATTCATCAACATGTTACTTAATCTACAAGGAAGAGACTGCAGAAGGATTAAGAAGAGTGCTAGCTTTCTAAGAATATAGCAACCGTTCATTAAATGCATACAATGATGAATTGATGGGAATAAGACTTGTAGGCTTAAGAATCCAACCATTTCAAAACACTACAACACCACAAGGCATTTCGCTACCTCAAACGGGGAAAATGTCCTAAACAGAGACAGGCAGGGTCACACCCAGCCTTTTGCCTTGCCTCAGATCTGTTCATGTGAACATCTGCATTCAGACGCACTTTGCATTTTCAGGAGAAACTATCTTCATGGCATTTTTCTTTCTCAAAACATCTGTATCGCTGGCGAACACGTGAAATGGGGTCTTAAGGAATTATTGTTCCAACAGCTGTGCAAAACAAAAGAAAGCCTCAAAACCAAATGACAAAGGAACAGGAACCTGGATGTCGGAGAAGACTGTGCAGCTCTGTATTATATGGGTTCTCATTAAGCCAGCTGTCCTTCATTCCTGCTTCAGTTGCAAAATTCCTAGTCATTCAACTACATAAAAAATAATACTTTCCGATAAGCAAGAAGGATTCCAAACCTTGTAGTCCAATCAATTATAAAGTCATACATATGCATAAGCCTAGAAACTGCTATACACCTTTACAATGTAGTAGTCTGAGCAATCACAGCTGGAGAGAGCTTCGCCGAGTGCAGTTGAGAAACACTGTTGAACACAGAAAGCTACATATCCTTCCCAGATCAATGCAAAAATCTGGATCAAAATAAAGTGTTTTGCCTCCTGCAGATTACTCTTGATATTGCAAAAAAAAAAACTTTTGCCAATTTTTTTCTTTTAAAAAAAAATAAATAGATCCATATTTCAGTGGATTACTTTTTAGTCCAGGAACATTTTTAAAAGATTTCAGTACAGCCACGGATCTGGCACACATTCAAAGCAAACACTTAAAAGCTGTCTTTTCAATCAGTCCGTGTTTTGTGTTTCATATAACCTGCTCACAACTCAACACAAACTCCGAGGTAAATCTATAATGTACTTTCATTTCAGTGACTGTCATCGATAGAACTTTGACCACCATTATGTTTTTGGAAATCCAAAAATGGTGTCTTGACCTAATCTGGTTTATACACAGGGGAACGAAACAGCGATTACTAAGAAGTCAATACAGCTGGTTCACAATATCTGACAGAGAAACACAGTGGAACTGTGCATAAGGTGCAAATGTAAACACTCTGGTTTCGACAAAGATCCCAGTTTTTTACATGAAAACAAAGAGCTTTCTTGAGCACAATACTGATTAATGCTGGTACTCTTAAAACTTTTGAAAAGTGTTTTTTTTGCCCATATACAGCAACAACAGCCTGAGTTGTTGTAAGTTACAACTTACAGACACCACAATGTGTTAAATACACACAGCAATCTGTCAATCATCATCTCACCTATACAGAGTCACAGGGGTACCGGAGTCTATCCCAGCAAGCAACAGGCACAAAGCAGGGTAACCCTGGACAGGACACCATCCATCGCAGGGCACACACACACAAACACAAACACTCACACCAGGGTCTACTTTGCCAGCAATTATCCTGCCAGTATGTCTTTGGACTGTGGGAGGAAACCAGAGCACCAGGAGGAGACCCATGTGAACACAGATAGAACATGCAAACTCCACACAGACAGCACCCCAGGACTGGAACTGAACCCAGGGCCCCAGTGCTGCAAGGCAGCGATGCTGACCACTGGGCCACTGTGAGAAGCAGAAATACACCTATGGACTTAAACACACACTTACCCTGAAGAACACTAGATGGGTAACCAGGAATTCGTAATACAGTAACAGACAGTATTTCCACCCACCAGTTAGAGATCAGCACTGCATTTTAAAATTGTTTGGAGGGGGGGGAGGAAATCAAATTAAGTTAACCCTGAGTAGTGCGTACTGATTCTAAAACCCTGTTGTCCGAGGAATATATTTGGCAAGTCTTTTACAACATGGATAACTGATGGCACAGTTCTGAAAATGGACCCTACTCCACCTACAGAACGGAAAAAAAACATGCTATAACATATTAGATCAATATATACATTTTTACCTCTTCTGAATTCTCGGGTCCGGTGTCCTTTGCCCCGCCTGCGACACTGTTTTTAGTGCCACTTTTAGCAGATTTTGCTGGCTCCTGCGGATGACAAGTCAGAGAGCACATGAGCTGTATCCCGAGCACGGTGGCCGCCAGCACCGCGCCAGTCCATGCGAGCTGGAAAACGAGCGCTTCTCGGCGCTTTGCGAGAGCAACAGCTCCGGGGTTTGGGTTTTTAGAAAGCACATGACAGAAATGTGATTTGCGCACGCAGCCTGGATGAATGTCTTCTACAGGTGGAGATACGGAGATAAAGGGATTCCAGGGAGAGGACATCGCACACACCCGGCGGTCCTGCGCTAAAGCATCCCGTTGGCAGGTGGTCGTCGCCTGCACACCCGGCGGTGACATTGAACACACGGGGAGAGGAGCCGTGAGCTGCTGGCCGAAACACCGCAGCAGCACAGCAAGGCTGGCAATGGGTAACGAGAGCGCGTTTCCCATGTCCACTCCGGGCAGCGGGCACCGGCCGATCTCCTCCGACACAGCTGGTGGGGAGGAGAGGGGGGGGTGTGTGGGACAAAAACTTGACACTGGAAACGTGCATTTCATGTCACACGGCTGCATCTTCCTCGCCCATCAATGCACCCACTTCGGGCGAGCGAGCCGGGTGTTTAAACATGCAAGTGAAAATTCACAGCGTTATTTCTGCAACAGACAAGAGAGAGAGAGGGCGGCGGGGGGGGGCAACTTAACACTCGTTTCCCCCTGCCCCAGCCACTATCAATTTCTAACATGAAACGGTCGGTAAACAATGTAGATTGCCGTCCGCCCCGAAGGCCTCCCGAATATGACTATTTACATTTTCTTTAAAGCGATGCATTATATGGATGTTGTTGTTTTTTTGTTGTTGTTTCCCAGTGAGTGAGATCTACCAATAAAATACGCGAGTGGAGAGGTGAGGTACTGTAGGGCTCTTTCTGCAGGGTCTCTAAGGTAGGCCTTGAGAATAAAAAAAAATCAAGTACAATCAATTCCCTCTCCCGTCTGTCCACAAACAACATATATTTTTACGGTGTTGATCAAATTCCCCCTCTAATATTTTAATTGCATTACCTTTTCTTTTTTAGTTTTATTCGGCATTTTGCTGCTGTTGTTGACGTTTTCCACGGTGACTCCGTGACTCGGTTCGCCGGCGCTCGCTCGCTCTCCTCTCGGTTACCTCCAACTCCCTGCGCCCTTCCAGCCCAGCGATATTCTGATTGGCCCGCGAAACGTAGTTCTGCCTAGTGACAAGCCCAAAGGAATTATTTTATTGGGCCACTACCGTTTTTATAATTAATTCCCTTTTTTTTTCCACCGCTCTGACGTGACGAAGTATAACTCTGCCTAGCAACCACAAAAGCGAAAAATGTCATTGGTCTGAAGGCTCCAGCAGACAGTACAGACGGCTTCAGCAGTTCAACATAACGCTGTTTCCGGAGAGAGATGCGCTTGAATTCAGCGAAAAACAGTTATTTTTCTATATTTCTAACGCGATTAATTTAGGTCATCATGGGTACTACATTTTGACGTTTTAATGGATCAGTTGATTCACTATTAATAACCTAAACACAACCATATAAGCTGCCATTGGTGTAGTTAGAAACAATTGCTCTATGCAGTCAATTGGTTTTCCCCCATCAGTTTTTAATTACATTTCCTCATAAATACACTTCATTTACTTCATGAACAATCTAATATCTAAATTAATCTGAAGCACTTCACCTCACGATTATCAAAATAATAATAATAGTAAAAAAAATGTTAAATGTATGTACAGAGTAATTGTTGCCACATCTGGGTTTAACACTTTAACAGGCATCTCTGCAAGAGTGTTATCACAATACTGTATAAAGTGTTATTAACCTATGCCATTATTTTATTACATAATGCTTTTATTAAACAATATATACTCAGTTTGCTTAATATTTCATATTCCTTTCTTAATATTTGTCTTTTTCATTTTTTCCTTACATGTTTTAAGTGTTCTTTAAGCATATACTTTTGCAATAGTAGTGTGCTGTGTAAATAAATCTGTCTGATATTTCAGGCTGACGAGGTTGCTTGATACCCTTTCTTTTCTATGATTGAGGTTAGTCCTTTATCACTTGATTTAAGTCTCATTTCAGGTCTGTACAGTGTGTGGGCCATTCAAACACACCTGCATTGTAAGTGAAGTTTAAACATAACATGATAATCTAAACCTCTGCACAACGTTAACAGAATTGCACGTGTATACAGTATGTAGGTACCGAGGATCTTATCAAATGCATTCCCTCTGCTCACAGAAAGTACCGCTAGGAGACTACAGTTGTGACTGTGCTGAAATACATGTACTGTACACCACTGGGCAGCATGATCCAACACATGTGCATTTTTACTTTCAGGAGTTCTGTGTGATGGTGGCAAACACAGTAATGTGGTCAGCATTACTGCCTCAAAGCAGCAACCTGGGGTGCTGTCTGTGTGGAGTTTGCATGTTCTCCCTGTGTTCTTGCTGGTTTCCTCCAACGGTCCAAAGACATGCTGGTGGGTTAATTGGCTTCTGGGAAAACTGGCCCTGGTGTGAGTGTGTGTGCCCTGTGATAGATGGTAGTCCTGTCCAGGGTGTATCCTGCCTTGTGCCCATTGCTTGCTGGGACAGGGTCCAGCTCCACCACGACCCCGATCTGGATCAGGTGGTTAGGAAATGGATGGATGGATGGAGGTCTATGACTGACGTTTACAGTTCTGCCCCATAGCTCTCTTTAACTGTGAACTTCAGTCACATGATACTGGCTGTGCTCTGTTTTACACCACATGAAAAACCTTTCAATATTTTTTAGTTTTGAAGGAGTATAAGCCTGTGACACACTTCTCCAGTGCTAGGGATTCAATTGCAAAAACCGAGGTCGTGGCTTTGTCTGGCCTGCAGACACACTGCACTGCTGTTATCAAGGGTAAAGGGCAAGGTCACTAATATATAAAACTGCCACCAAGAACAATTGCTGACAAAGTCTAGGTTATCAGCAGCACATGAATTAGAATTCACATGCTTCCCATACAATAGGCCCATGTCTTTGTGAGAGTGACATGACCTAGGTTATCTTTTTCCAAGCACTCAGAGAATAATGAGTTTGGCTTCTGTATAAACCAGCGCCCTCTACTGGCCATTTCTCACAATGCTAAATGCCTGCAGAGTAAACAAGCCCATTAGTCTAGTCAAGGGGCCTACAGCTAATCTACTTCAGAGCACCAATCCAGCAGGGTTCATAGGTCACCACTAAATCATCAATTGTCTATGACGTGGAACAATTTCATTCCCAGTTCAATTAAGCAGGTGATTTTCTAACATTTGTAGCTTTAAGATCCTCTGGGACCAAAATCTGAGTACACTCTACCCTTCGAGGTCCTGAGTACAGATCACCCGCTAATTTCCTCAGTCATATCCACATATTGTCAATCTCTAGTAATAGGCAATTAAAGATTAACCGGATTGGGTCTCTCCAGGACCAGGGTTGTAGACCCTGAATCTCTCATTTCCAACGTGATCTTTGGCTGCAGATCGTAATTATATTACAATAAGACTACATTTCTTAATACTGTAGCTGCAGTAGAAAAAACAAATAGGATTAGATTCATGGCCTCAATCTGTCAACTTTCTGGAATAAAGTCAACAGTTTGATTTTTCTATTAATGAATTCAAGTAATGCCAAATGGATATCCAAAATGTCAGATCATTAGTACATTTCCAAATCACTTTGAGTACCATACAACTTAATACAGTACAATTCCCATCATATATGGGGGGGGCTGGAGCCCTGGGTCCAACACTGAACCTGGGGAACTATCTGGGTGGAGTTTGTATGTTCTCCCCAAGTTTGTGTGGATTTTCTCCTACAGTCCAAAGACATGCTAAGTCTTTAAGGGTTAAGTGGCTTCTGGGAAACTTGGCCCTGGTGTGTGTGCTTTTGGTATCCAGGGTGTATCCCGCCCTGCGCCTGTTTCTTGCTGGGATAAGCTCCAACTCCCCGACAGTCCTGTATTGGATAAAGGAGTTGAGAAAGGATCACTGGAAACAATTTCCTAAATGAAGTCCTCAATGTAGACTCACAGAGGCTACTGCTGTGTACTTCCATGAGTAAAAATACTCATTTACAAACACCAGTAGCAGAACACAGAAACTACAGTGCCAGGTCATTTTCAGTAAAGACTTTTTATTTCACTTAAAAAATACATTCATTTTTAATATATACTTGGTTATTCAATAAAATGGTAGACATTTACAAAGCACAAACTTTTAGCCATCTTTTTTTTTCTCCCAAAGAGGTTAAAAACACCATTTAAAGAGTCAATACAAGTACAACAGTATTACTCAGGAGAGATGGGGACTTCATACCTCCTTAGAACACAGCACATTCAAGGATCTGAGCAGATGAATAGGATTTAAATTCTGATTCCGATCGTGCCAAGCAGGATAAATCTTCATGCTACCAGAGGCCCAGCCATTTTCAGATCTGTCCCAGTCTGGCCAGGTTACTTTACATTCCTCAAGATAAGCTGTGAGGAAAATGGCTGTCTACACATTTCTGTCACTGCATTGTGACAGCAAAATGGTCTTTTTCTACCATATTAAGAATCGTTCTTACCTGTGGAAGCGTATGAGCCTGCAGGTGTCCCAGGGGCTTCACAGAGATTTATAAACCCACGCTTTCACAAGGAGAGGCGAGAGGCAGCTTTCTCCACAGTGCAGTCTCAGTGTTGCCTTTATGGGAGCAATATCCCAGCATCCACCCTATTTCCAACTATTCTGTCACCAGTCCTTCTGACACAGGTGTTAGACCAACTACACGGAGGTCAAGTTCGGGACGAGAGTTTGGAAACAATTTTACTGAGAACTTGAGGACGGTTACACACAGGAGGAGGCCTTGTGGCCCATCTGGCTCCATTAGTGACTAATGGATCCAAAGAGCTCATCCAGCTGTTTTTTTAAAGGAAGCCAAAGTCTCAGCTTCAACCACATGGCTGGGTAGCTTGTTCCACACTCCCACAACCTTTAGGATAAAGAAGGTCCTTGTGTTCTTGGTTTTAAGTTTTCATTGTATACACACAGTATATTTAGTAAAGACAATCGTATTATCACGCTAACAATTTAACAAAAATATTTTAACATTTGAACACTTATCATAAGGTCTACAATCCATTTTCTTTGAATAATACACTGCTGTGGCAGCATCTAGCCCGATCCCTGTCAGATCTCAGAAGCTATGAAAGGCTATACCTGGTCAGGTATTCCTTCGTGTCCTGGGGCCGGCAGGGGAATCCTACTCCGCTGGGCCCCTGAGCAAGGCCCTTAACCCCAGCTGCTCCAGGGGCGCCGTATAAATGGCCGACCCTGCGCTCTGACCCCAAGCGTCTCTCTCTGTGTGTCTCATGGAGAACAAGTTGAGGTACGCAAAAAAGACAAATTCCTAATATAAAAAATTGTATATGGGCAATAAAGTGATCTTATCTGATTATGATGACCAGGGACACTGTGTTGCTGGATGTGTCATTCCTACAAGTAAGACGTTATATCGACTACTTTGTCATTAAAGATCCCAGGGCACTGTTTGAAAAAAGGACGTCTTGTTCAAATTCCATTGAGGTTAATGCTCTCTGGCTTGCAAATCGTGGCTGAAAAGCACTTGAAACATGTTAGAAAATACATGGCATGTTACATTTGTATTTCATATATTAATAAGAAACTATTTTCAAAGGATTTCAGCACTCTTAGTTATTGTTCAGTAGCAAAAGACTGGAGGAAGTAAAGAGCTACAGAAAATGTAAGCATCTATGCCTCTGCTAAATGCAAATGTTCGAGCTGAGCAGCATGTCAATCAACATTCACACAGGCAAGGACAAAATCTGAAATGTAAATGTTTTAAAACAGACCCATAGTGCGACAACAGAATAGAACTACCTATAGAAGTTTAATCAGAATTTCCTACAACGTTCAAATACGGCATACAGGAATCACGCAAACGTTTATCACAGGTACACTGACAAAAGATCGAAACGGCTCCAATGAAAGGTTGACGACTCACTGAAACTTCCTCCAGATCTTTATTTTACAACAGGGCATCAACCATTTTGATGGACCTGCCGAGTTCTGCCATCAATATTTTTGTCCTAAAGCAGAACTAAAAAGCTAAAGGAGATTTATTTAACTTCACAATCATCTCCAAGATTATAGTTAGAATTTCTGCCTTTCTGTGTCATTAAATTTCAGCACATCTTAAAATAAAAACAAACAGGGAGACCTCTTCCTAAATTAAGAATTCAAATTTAACTGTCCATATCGATACGCTTGGCAGGCGTGAACTTTCATACCTTGAGCATGATCTGTAAACATCAAACCCTCCTGCAGCACCTTGATCTCCCTCTCATGTCCCCCAGTAAAAGGACCAAGACTCAGTTTAAGAAGCATGGTATAAAAACATTCTGAGGCAAATATTCCCTACTTGCATGGCTTGGCATGTATTATAATAAAAAAGCGTAAAGTATTTCAACTCAATAATAAAAAAAATTTAAGCTAATGTTTTGAATGTTGTATGTTTATTAAAAAGCAATGCAGACTGTTCTGATACCACTCTGAAATTGTTCACGATTGAATTTTTCATTGTTTAATGAACAGAAACCAAGTACTTTTTAGGCTTCAATAGTTTAGAATTTTCACTTATAGAAACTATACAGTTCAAGAAAAAGATCTTTTCCTTATACAAATATACTAAAACCATTAAACTAGATCTTTCATTTAAAGTTCTGTCAGAGGACATATTTCTGCGTAGAGATCTGTTAAGCTTTTATCCTTAACCTCACAGTCTCCCCAACAGTACCCCCCCAACCACCAGGTGAATAAGCACCTAAGAAAGACAACACAAGAACTTACAATGCAGTGCATAAGGTTTATTTTCACATGATATCCAAGACAAAAAATACATGTAGGCCAAATGTCTTCATAAAATCCAAGTAACAGTTTTACATAAGAAATTAAAATTGGCAAACTCAGATAATTCTGCAACAGCAGAAACAGTTCAGAAACAAATATAAAAGAAAAATAAAATCTTTCAGTGTCCCATAGGCTCTTCAGTTTCTTCCACCTCTTCACTCCTGTTCATTATTTGCTGCAGCAGACAGCAAGACACTTGGTACCAGCATCTGGAAACGTGTGCACGTGAAACGTCTGTGAAATCCCTTTGGTCCCTAGGACAGTCCTCTGTCTTACCAATGCTGTCTTCTAGTTCTATCCAAGACGATTTTTCTTTTTCGCTTCTTACCAAGCGTTGGGAGTTCCTGTTTCGATGCGCCAATCATGAAAAAATAAACAAAAAGCTTAATAGTCTTACTTAACAGCAAAGGGTAGATCATGAAAATAAGCCAACAACGTTTGTACTTTACCTTTTCAGGCAGATAAAGGGGGAGGGGAGCTGCTGCAAATGAAAGACATTAGCAAAAGATCTATGTTTCATGTTCATGTCTGCTTCCTCTACGCAGTAAGCGCATTTGAAAAGGACTTGTTTTCTTTAGTTGAGCTTGTTATTTTTGAATGGTCTAATGTAGAGAAATGTGTCGAATTACGGAATCCCACAGACTCAAAGTACAATCTTTAGTAGATTAGATATGCTTAAGTTTAATTACTGACAACCGCTATGCTCGTCATCTCTGGGCAGATGTGACTCAAGTACAGCGTGCGGCTTAAATTCGATTGGACGTTTCCCTTCAGATTCCAGTGATTCAGGAGCAGTGGAGTCTGCTTTTTTAGGTGGCTCGGCTGCCTGGGAGGATGTTATTGTTGAGGTGTCCGTTTCCACACCAATCGAGTCGGCCGCCTCATCAATACCATCCAAAATAAGACCACTAGAAATACCGTGCATTTCGTTTTTTATGTCCCTCTGGCTCACTGAATCCAAAATATTTAACTCCACTTGCCTGGAGGAAGGACATAGATCTAAACCTGCAGTTCCCGCATTCTGTAGCTCTGACGTTGCTACGTTTGTCTCAGGCTCAGGGACACTTAGATCTGCAGTTTCGAAACCCAACTCATAGGATTCAAGATTTAAGACAGACGCTTCCAAGCTTAAAGCCGGATTTTCATAAATTCCCAAATCCACAGGCACATCACGTGCCCCTTCTCCTAGTTTCAGGGACCCTGGCTCATCTGTAGGATCACTTAGCTCAAGAGGGTCATGAAGGTCTGAAACTTCTAGAAAAGCCTGCTCTTGATTTTTGAAGTTGTCCTCCTCACAGGTGTCATTAATGCTAAACAGGGAGGCATCAGAGGACATCCAATTGCTGGTTTCGAGGGGATCTACACCCTCCTGCCTGCGGAGCGTGTCTAATTCGATTTCAGGGGTCAGCGGGACTGGGGGTGTGGCAGGGCTGTCGGTTTCCACGGAAACAGCGCCTGGGGCGTGCACTTCATGCTCCTGACCAACTGAGCAAGGCCGCTCTTTACCTGATATTGTACATCCATTATTCATAGAACTTGTCTCAATACCTTTATCTACACGTTCAAAATTAGAGTTAACCGCACTGTCCTTCGCTTCTGAAGTACCTACGCCACTAACGACTTGCCTAGAAGTCTCTTTCAGACTTCGAATTCCAATATCTTGGTTTTTGTCATGTGAGATACTCTGGGAGTTGTCACTGGTGGGTTCCTTAGAATTCTGGGTACCAGTCTCCTCTCCACTGTTTACTCCTATGACTGCTTCAGTATTCTTTGAATCTCTTATATCCCAAGTGTCTGCGCTACTGTTTTTAGATTGCTGCCCTTTCGTTATATTAGGACACTTGGTCATTTCTGCTCCTTCATTTTGGGCCTCTAGCTTCCCCGTGCTCGTTTCATTTTTGCTCTCTTTAACTCCGACACCGTCCGTGCTTCCAAATTTGAGATCCGAGGGGCCCCTAGTGCTGCTGTAAAAGATGTCGTATAAATCCTGTGCTTTTGCTGCAGCCAGACTAGATCTGGGTTTGTCCCTCTTCTTCACCGACTCTTTCAAACACTTATGAAGAGGAGGAGGGCGGACAAGCACAGTGAGGGTCTGTTCACTTTCAGGCACCCCGGGGGCAGCCACATCAGACTCGAAGCTCATGACACGCATGGCTGGAGGAGATGGGGCCGCAACAGCAGTAACATTTATCTTGGCCACGGAGGGCGTTTTCGTCTCTGCTGCGGCGGGTGATTTTTTTTCGGCTGCCGTGGGCACCTTTGCGTCGGCAACGACGGGAGAGCTCTTGTCTGCCAGGGCGGGCGATTTGAGAACCACCTCCTCCCCACCGAAGGCCTTGGAAATAAGGTCAGGTGTCAGCACTACATCCTTTTTGGGCTCAGCCTTCACTACCGGCAACGGCTTGTTGGTGCTGCTGCCAGAGGGCCTGATCGACAGAAACGTGTTCAGGGGGGCGGGTTTATTCACGGCAGCCGGGCTGGTCTTTCTCAGGAGCATGGCCGGCGCAGGCAGGTTGGGTCGGATTTTTGCTGTTGAGGTCACCGATGGAGAAGAGGCCAATGGCACCCACGAGCTGGAGGGCGGGATCACCGTCTTCCCAGACAGCTTAATCTCAATGGTCTTGGACTTCCCAAGAGGGGACTTCCCATCGTCCTTCTCTTTGCTGTGATCGCCGCTGTCCTCCGCTTCTGCAGGAGCCTCGGCAGCGCTCTCCTCGTCCTTGTCGCTCTTCTTCCAGCTGAACTTCCCGAAAGCGGGAGCAGCAGTGTTCCTGGACGGCTCCTCGCTCTTCTTTTTAGCCTTGGGCTGCAGCGGCACCTTGGGAGAGCCTGGCACCTTCTGGAGCGCGGGCGTCTTTTCCCCCAGGCCCGCGCGGCCCCGCGGTTCCTCGGCCTCTTCTTTCACCACGCCCTTCTCTTCCTTCTCTTCCTCCACCTGACTCTGGGGATCTTCCTCCATCTTCCGTTTCAGCTCCGTCTGCCTCCGCTCTTTGTTGTCCATGACCACAGCCAGCCCTGCTTGCCGGTCCAGGTTTCTCCGTTGCTCATACAGCGGATTTTCATCAACGTATTGCTGTTGAGGACGAAAAAGACACAGTTATCACTGGGCGCCAACAGAATCGATCGACACTTTACTACCTACTGTGCGTGCAGTCTTCTTACAAATAAATACAAGTTGCATCTCTAAAACAGCAAAAGGTCTAATTCTAGGCTTTGAATCAGCTATTCAATGGTGGCATGATTACCCAGCCCATTCTAACATTTTGACTACAGAGTCAACTATTTGGGATTGAGGAACACTGGCAAAAAAGATACTTCAATTATATGTGGTTTAGCCCTTGCTCTGTTTACATCTTAATATTACCCTATCACTCAAATGGAGATGGAAATCTTAAATGAGAAACAAATGTTTGTGAGATGTTGATTTCACAGAGTGTGCTTCTGTTTTACAGGATGAGCAATTTCAACGAGTTATCAATTTAAGCTGCTACCTTACAATTCAACTAAATGCACAACATGCACATGCTTGTGTACTCAAAGTCACAAGTGAGCCATCCTTTTCCAGGGATTACCTTGTACTTTTCATTGTGACTATGACATGTAACATGATCTTCAGCACATAACTGATCTCCAAAAAACTCTTCACACAGCTGGCAGTAAAATCCTATCACAGGGATCAAAAACTCGGAACCTGAAACAGCAGCAACAGGGTGAGGTGTTAAACATTACTAAACACATAACCAATGAATAAAGAATACAACAAAGATAATATCTTAAGTGTTATAACATGCATGTTTTTATAGTAAGCGCCAGACACCCTTCATAGATTTCTAAGAAAGGTACATGTTACATTTGAACACAAGATTGTTTTTTCCATCTCCTAATCCTTAATAAAAACCACAGTGAAACACATTTCACTGACACTTGAATTCAGGAACACTTTACAAAATCAAGTTTTAGAATGGCATTACAGAAAGTAGGTCTTTGCTCATCACATGTCTGCAGACTAGAGGGGGGGTACTATATTCTAAATCTAACATCTCAGAAGGCAGCAGTACCTTTGCCAGGAACAATAATCTTCTCCCCTGTCAGTCGTTTGTTGTCGTTAGAGGACGTTTTTGGAGCCCAGGGTCTATCATACGGATCCTGAGTCTATGTGTACAGTGACAAGAGTACATGTGCCAGTATTACAACAGAGAAAGCACAAAGTGTAACACCACCTGCATTTACAAAAAAGAACTTTATAAGCTTTTCCTTTATCTTGGCACCTGTGAAAGAGGCAAAATAAAGTGTTAAGCACATTCTTTAGAGACAGAAAAAGCAAAGATGAGAGCCAGAATATTTGGAAAACTGAGGTCTGCCCTTTCCTGCTGTTTACTCTGGCACTGTCAGAAGGGAGTCACGCATGTGACTAACTGAAGGGCGAACCCTACCTTTCTGTGTGTCTTGCTGTGCATGTGTGTGAAAAAATCAAACATGGATCCACAGATGGTGTTGCAGTTTTTGCACCAGTGGTTACCAGCATCATAATATTCATACTGATGTGCAGGTATCTCCGACGACAGAGTAGGACTTTTAGCCTTCTGCTTTTCGGGGTCAGGCTTCGAGCTAGATGGTTCCTAAATTAAAAATGGGAAAGCAAAAAGTTACTTTTACACATTAATCCATTATGAACATAGAAATTAAACGAAAAATGAAAGTCTAGTGACACTCATGTATTTTGCAGAAGATACAATCCTATTTAATAACATTAAGTTTTCAAAATGGCTTTACCTTTGCATCTTAGCAGGTGTTCCGACTGAAGATCTTACTCATACCGCAAATTATCTGCTTTTGAACTTTCCGATTCTTCAGGAAGAAAATAAGCATCCCTACAGTCACCACGAAAATGCAAGTCTACATTGGTTACAGTGAAGACTGTCAGTATCAAGCCACGGGTCAGACTACCACCGCAAACAAACAGGGAATGAAGAGGCATATCAAAAAAACATTTTAAAACGACAGACGAATCCAGAAATCAAATTAAAAGGCTTTTTAGTTTCAGACTATACCTGACTGGAATTCAGTTTAAGTCTGACTGTCATTTGCAAAGATTTCCTGATCATCCAGGTGGGGCTGCACACTGGTGGTGGTGGAGGGGATCCCCATTATCTGTAAAGCTCTTTGAGTGGAGTGTCCAGAAAAGCACTATATAGGTGTAAGCAATTATTATTATTATTTTTTATTTTTAATCCTTCCACCTTTTTATTTTTTTACTACATTATCTCTTCCCCATATTAAAAAAGCTGCCAAATTTTAAAATGTAAAAACCAAAATGCGGCGCCTTCCCGAAATCCCGAAGAAAGTCTATGTGCCAATTAGCTTGATGCGGAAACAAAGACATATTTGGAGGCGCATAGACAGTACTGCAACGATGCTCCATTATCATTTTCCTATTGAACATTGGCTTATAATAAAAAATAAAACTCAAAACTTCATATACCATGGAAAGAGCAAAAGAGCATTTTTTTTAGAAATCAGAGAATGTTTTAAGTGTACAACCATTGTATTTTGCTTGCTCCTCAAAGACCCTATGTCAGTGAAACACCGAGGAAAACACAAAGTCAAGAAACACGTTGCAAGGCAGGAACATCTGGACAATGTGTGACTGGCAATGAGGAATACAAGCACATTTAAATACACGAAGGTAACAAAGCATTCTTTCAGTGGGAAACTCATTTACGATAGAGGTGCTGTTTGTCCAGTTTACTGCCGAACATATTTGGATTCAATATTGGGGATCACATCACATCACAAGTATACTTTCACACGCAAGTCAAGGATTCAGATGTACAGATTCATAAAGAATGCAAAACATCAATTTCATTAACGTGACATGAAACATTATGAGATGAAACGATATTACTTGTTGTGGCGAACGAATACAAGTGGAGTTTCAAAATGTTGTATTTGACTGTTTTACATATAAGTGACCGTGTGATCCATAATGCCAAGGATTATACAGGTATGCTGTTTTTTCCATAATTTATATAAAGTATGCTAAATGATCTCCCTCTTTTCTGGTACGTGTAGACTGATGAGATCTGACCATCTCATTATGCTTCAACTTGAAGCCTCTGCATTTGACACTTATGAGAACAAAATGCTTAGCCTGTAGAGGTTATTTTTATCTGATTAGCTGTATTCCACCTACATAGCTCTCTCTCCTTTGATGAAACACCTAAAAAATTAAAACTGCAAAACAGGGTCATCACAGAGTCCCAAAAAAGACATTTGCTGAGTGGAGTTACCACCTCTAAATACAAACATTCATTAGATTATTATATTCTAATTAGTTTATTTCTGAAGGATTAAAATAAAGATTCAAATATTTTGATAAATGTATTTTTATCCTACTTAATAATGACCTTTTCTGTGTAAATATGAACACTTATTCAATTTTTTCCCAGCACTGAATCAGGAAGCATGTACACCACCCAACTCCATCTGGAAGCCCAAAAATATTAAGAGGGCAATAAATCCGGTAGTTTATTTTGGCATCGTAATAAGTATGACAATGGGCAACTGCGGGGTGCTGGGAGAAACACAGTTTTGCGTACTATAGTGGAGAGCAGCTCTCCTTGCCCCTGCTGGGATTCGATCCCGGTCGCTTGTGGGCTACAGCGCCTCGCCCTAGGCGGAGGAGAACTCCACCGCGCCCATAAACCAAGTACTCTGCAGCGGCAGAGACTTACACCGTGTAGATTTCACACGAGGGTAACATCACATCTGTATCTGGCTCACAGCATGAGCCCTTGCTACATTGCAATGCAAAAATGACCACAATTAAATAAAAGTTCTAAAAATGAGCAGCTTTTTGTTACACATTCAACGGCATGTGCTAATCTGTTTGCCAACTGTATAAATGAGGGATCTGGGGAGGGGAAGTTCTCTTTTTATCCTTCCGCTCTGCACAGATTTGCATGGTCGCTCTCACACCTGCAAGACCCTGCATTTCACCCCGCCCTTCGCTGTTTTTAACACGTTTTTAAGTTTCTCTCCAACACAATGAATTTCTTTTGACGTTTCCATTCTGCCTGCAGCAGGCGGTCAGCCAGCCGACACGCGGCAACTTCCCAATGTGGTGCAGAACGTCCAAACCGCCCTGACCGTGACTGCGACCCACACAAAACCCCCTCCACGACCGCAGAAAGCCACGTGGCCGGTGGGCACCACACGCGTCCTCCTCTGGACAGCCGGAGTCTGGATCCCAACCCCTGTGATGACCACTCAGCGCCCCACAAGCAGCAGAACCAATCACCAGGGAGAACGTCCCCCCCCACCGGCTGAGCTCTCCCATAGCAGACCCAGCCATTAACTGACCCGACAGCCTGCTTCACTCTGAAGCGGTCCTCATTCTGATATGCTAAAAGAGTTGCAGGACTGAAGTGAAGGAATTAAAATTGAAACAGAAGGCTTAAATTTTGTAACAGCTTCTAGGCTGAAAATAAATAAGTACAATAAGGGGTTCAATGAAAAAGCCTGAGCGCGCAGCTGCAGCAGAAAGCATCGGACAGAGGGAGCGCCAGGATACAGGGAAGGCCAAGGGGAGCAGGCAGGTCCCAGTCCTTCCTGCCACTGAAACCTCTGTCCCACCAGCCCTACACGGACCTGCGCTCGGACACAACCACCCGACAGGGAGACTGATGTAGCCCCAAGGCCCCTCTGCTTTCGGAAAGGAACAAATACAGTAAAAGCAGACAGAAGAAGAAGAAGACCATGCCGTCAGTCCCTTACATCAAATCAGAAACAAGGTAACGATGGAATTCAAGCGAACGCTAGAATCAACTGAAATCTTGCACAGGTTGAAAAACATGACAGTGCTGATCCAAAATAACATAGCACAGAGCCACTCGAAACCAAGACTGATGGAGATGGCACGAAACCGGGCTTTTACCAGAACCCCGGTCCTGGGCGGGACCGACTCTCCACGTCGTGAATTCTACCTTCAGGGACGTGCCGGAGGAGGAGGAAGCGGAAGATTTCTCGGGGCTCTTGGGCTTCTCTTTCCTCTTCTCCGGCGGCAGCTCCCTGCCGTCCCTGGGCTCCTTCCGGTGCTTGTCGGAAGCGTGCAGCCCCAGGATCAGAGCCACCTTGTCCAGCTCGGCCCGCTTCTTCTCTGCGGATTCCTGCTCCTTGCGGATGGCGGAGATCTGCGCCATGACCTCCTCCTGCAGCCGGCCCACCTCCGCCAGGAGGGGGTCCTTGTGGCCGTCCTTCTCCCTGCGCTTCTTCCGCAGCAGCTCCCCTTAAAGGCACGCAAGGCCACACAAGACAGGGGTGAGCGGGACCCCACGCCGAGGGGCCTCCTGCCAGGCCAGACTCGCACCGCCACCCGCCAGACACACACGCCTGCGGAAGAGCAAGCGGACGGCGAGGACTCGGCGCGGCGAAGGCGGGAGAGAAAGGGCGGGTACCTTGCTGCTTCCGCAGTCTCTCCAGCTCCTTCACGAGATACTCCTTCTTCTTCACGCGAGCCTCTCTGTCCTTCCTCAGCTTCTCCCTTTCTTCTAGGACCTGGATGTGCCAGACGGCGGTTTGGAGACGTGAGTGGGGCGATACCCCCCCCCCGACGAGCAAGACGTCGGCCAGCTGCGAGGAACTCGCAGCCACGCCACGGGAGCATCGTGACAAACAGGAGTACACCGAACCGGCGGAAATAACACACAATGCTCACCTGTCAGCCAATTGGTAAGTTGTAATGAATAAAACCAAGTGGTAAATTCAATTTAGGGTTTAAGGAAGAGAGTGTGTTAGGCAACCACCTACAAAAACTTTTTACATCTCTAAAATGATATTTCCTAAATATTAATTTCATGACACTATAAATATTCTTACCCCCCTAAAACAACCCTCACAATTAATTACATTTACCCCGCTGATCAACCAAGCCTGCACTTGAAGAAATACCTTTTGTTTCTGCTTGGCGTTATTTTTCTCCTCCGCTGCCCTGTGCTGATGGTTATTCCCTACTGCCACGTCAGGGGATTTCTTGTCTAGGCTTTCTATCACCGGCACCTGTACCAGAGCAGACTCCTCCTTTGAGGAACGCGCTGGCTTTTTTTCCATGGGCACCGTTTCGATGACCCGCAGGTAAGGGTGGCTGGATTTCAGGGGGCGATCTTCCACTGGGGGAATAACGGGTATTGGCGCCTGGTGGGTACCAACGGGCTGCCCCTGTGAGGGAGGTGGGTACATTGGCCATCTGGGAGGCATGTAAGGGATGTAGTTCCCATACTGGTCATAGCCTGGCAGCGGGTAGTTTGGCATGGCTTGCTGATGCTGGTACTGAGAGTACAGAGGTGCAGAGTGGGCAGGACTGGGGCCTACAGGTGCAACAGGCTGAGATGCTGCAGGGCTGGTAGCAGCAGCTGACGCCGACACAGAGGGCTGCGTGGCACTTTCCCCCAGGACAGGGATTCCCCAGCTCGTCTTCTCCCCGGCCTCGATTCCAAACTCCGAGCCGTACGCGGACGCAGGGTCCGCGAGTGAGGCCCGCTTCGCCGGCGGCGGGGGCGAGGCCGCGCGGCCGTGCTCCGGGTCCGGGGACCTGGCGTGGCTCTGGCTGCGGCGGCGGCTCCGGTCCTGCCTCCGCTCGGCGGACTGCGAGCTCCCCGCCGGCGGCCTCTTCCCGTGCAGGCGCTCGTGCGTGCGGGCTGCGAGCTGGCCGATTTCAGCCATGCCGATGTCGAGCCCGATCGTTTTTAGCAAGTTCTGGATCTTCTCGTATTCCTGGGGATCCGGAGTTTCCGCGGCGTCCTTGCGAGGCGCGCCCGGCGGGTAGCCTCCCGCTTGGCCCTGCTGGCTGCAAGCTTTGTCCGGGCGCTTCAGTGCGTGGGCAATCCCTGCCTTGTCGTCCCCGCCAGAGGTCAGGCCCGACAGGCTTTGCTGGCGATGCACTGTGCTGGACTGAGAGCCGCCGGCTGTACGGTCTTCAGCGCTGCCCAGATGGTGATGAAATCCAAAGACATTCTTGCTTTGCCGTGGGTGGGTTCCTCCCAGCTGGCTCATCTGACACTCCCCTGCTCCAGGCTGGTTATCCCCATATTGTCCAGTTTCAGGTTGACTTTGTTGGCGGGCAATTCCCATCTGAGACAGATACTGGATCTGGGCTTGCTCTCGGTCATCTTCTTCATCTCCATAAAGGAACTTCTCCTCATCCTCTATATCTGTGAAACCCTTCCTCTCCTCCTGTGGGCTGGGGAATTCGCCCATCATACCTAGAATTCTAGAAAACCCACTACCATCCTGGCTAACCCTCTCATGCGGAAGGAGAAATTCACTCGCGCTTTCCAATGGCTTTTCCCGATTAACCCTGAAGAACGATTCTTCAATTTGCTCCTTATAGGAACAGGACTCTTTTGAGATCTGCTTCTGCAACCTGTGGCCATGCACCTCCTCACTTGCTTTCTTCAGCGAACACAAGATGCCGGACTCCATTCCTTTGCTCAGAGTGTTGAGGAAACGTTCAGTCTGTTTCGAAAGGTTGCTGCTCGGCTGATCTAAAGAGGCTTCGCTTGACAGTTCACCACCCTGTGAAAGACAGTAACACCATAAGGAGAGAAACTGTTTCAAGGAAGGAAGTTCATCTGCAGTTAGTTGGCCAAAATTAGTGAACCATTCAACCATTAAGTGATGCAAATTTAACAAGGCTGGCAAGAAGTCTAAGAATTTTTCTGTGTCAAAACATGCCGAACACTTTTTGAAACAACAGATCTGGATTTCGAAATAATTTTCTTTTCACCTGCAAAGGTCACACTGTCTTCTCACTATAGGGGGGGTAAAAAATAAAGCCAGAAAATGCAGATTTAATAGAAACGTGGCACAGCAGTGCCATGTACAACAGCAGAATGACAAAGGAACAGTAAATCCCAGCTGAGAGCCACAGAACTCATCTCTAACCTGAGCGCTCAGAGAAGCATCCACGTCGGGATCAATCCGTTTTTTCAGAATGGACTTTTTGGGCATGGGCAGCCACTCCTCAGCCTGGTAGTGTCCTGGGACGCTGGCTGCCATGGCGTGGGGCGGACCGCGCCGAGAGGACTCGTCCTCCAGCCTCTCCAGCTCCTCCTTCTCCTTCCTCCTGCGGGCCAGCTCCAGCTCCCGGAAGCCCTCGCTCATCTTGTCCTTGAAAAGCGAGGCGGAAGGGCTTCCCCTGCTGCTGCTGCTGCGACTCCGGCCGCGGCTCTTTACCGCGGTGTGGCCCCGGCTCCTAGCCCTGCTCTTGCTCCGGCTGCGGCCTCGGCTCCGACTCCGGCTCCGGCTCCTCCCACGGCTGCGACTCCGGCTCCGCCCCCTGCTGCGGCTCCGCCCCCGGCTCCGCCCCCTGCTGCGGCTCCGCCCCTTGGTCTCCATAGTGCGCTCAGAGTAGCGGGACCTGTCTGTGTTGTAGCCCCTTTCGTCGGGTTCCAGCTCATAACTGGGCCTCTTCGCATCCTTGGGAAGGTAGGAGGCCTTTCTGTACCTGTCCCGTTCCTGGCTGCCTCCTCTGGAGCACTCCTCTGGCCTGGGAGGAAAAGGTGGGCTCTTGCCATGGAAATCAACGTCACACTCATGCGCTGGGTATCTTCCTTGACCCGCAGGGGCCCTGAGATAGTCTTCATCCACTTCCTCTCTGTAAGAAAAAGGAACGTTCCAAATGAGATGACAGATCCCTCTTTCTTTACGGTTCAGATGGACAAATCCACGGAACCCCAAATGAAACTTGAGCATGAGGCAAGGCCTGAGTTAGCCAGAAGGTCAAGATGTATTGATTTTTTACACTTTTTCACATCCGAAACCTAAAAGAGTGCTCAGGTCTGAAAGCTGTTGCATTGCTGCTTTTCACACACAAGTGAAAAGCTGATATTTTCCTTTATGGCTGTGCTCTCTTCTGCACTAAACAGCACTGAACCATGAACAAAAGGCCCACAGTAGCTAGCTTCCATCTGGTAACCCAGGGCACCTGTTCAGCTGAGGAATACAGTAACATGGCAAAGATAAAGACTCCAAATACTTCTATTCCCTTCATTATGAGACTCAGACAGCTCCAATATCCAATGTGTAGTTATCACATTCCAACATGGAAATATCATTAGATTCAGATAAATTCAACATTTTTACAGCTGCTTTCTTTGTCCAAGTTTACAGTTTAAGAATGCACGAGATACTCAAAAGACATCAAATATTTTTGCAGGATATCTCCAGCCTCCATTTTCAACTACAATAGGCTTTCACTTGCACACATACCTCTCATAGAAGTGCTCAGGGGGCAGCGCTTTTCGGGGATCCACTCTCCTGTGATCAGAGGCTCCCCCGGGATCTCGGCCCGATGAACCGAAGGTCAGCTCGTTCCCCACTGTAATGACCAGGCTGTGATCTATTGGGATCCCACCAGGAGGGGGAGATGGAGTGAGCCTCTGTAGATGTAGAACAACGAGAGTTAACAGATTAGACTGGGGATTCTCTAAATCCACTGGAGTACGCCATCCAGTCAACTCAATGGGAAAGCATGGTGCACTGATTCTATAAATTACTGGCGAATAGCGAATTTCACTGGCAATCTGAATATACAGGCCTCCCTTACGCTACTTCCTGTCAACAATTAGGGTCAGCAAATTGAGGAGGTAATTCCAGACAAGTGATGTAGCCCTGGATACAGCCATCTAGTTTTTTTATCCAGTCAGGGGTCACGGGGAAGCCCCAGACTCTCCTGGCAAAGCAGCAGGTGCAAGACAGGACACACCCTCGACAGGACGCCATGATCACACACCGACACCAACACACTCACAGCAGGGCCAGTTTTCCACAGACACCAATTAACCCACTTGTATGTCAAGGAACGAGTAAGGGGTTTATTCCACGCTGAAATGAGAAGAAAGGAAACACAACGTTTCGGCTGTGGAGCCTTCTTTGGGTTTGTCACTTTCTTCTCTCTTCGGCATGAAATATACCCAGTACTTGCTCCTTTGCAGCCTGCTGACGCAGCTGCCCACCTGAACTAGCTTGTATGTCTCTTGAGTGCGGGAGGAAACCAGAGCAGCAGGAGGAGACCCAGGTGAACACAGGGGGAGCATGCAGACTCCACACAGAGAGCACCGCAATCGTACACGGGGCCCCAGTGCTGCGAGGCAGCAATGCTAACCACTGCGGTGCCTGCCTCATCCCGTGTCTATCTGAGTTCAGAACGTTTACAATCTCCCGGTTTTACAATGTTCCTAAGTAATGCAACGCATGTGCCAACACAGGAATTTAACCATTTTAAAACAGACACAAAAGAAGCACATAGAGCATATAACGTGATAAACGTCCAAAGAGCATGACACCCCACTCCAGAGACCATTTCACTAAGTCAACTAGGGGTCGGCTTGAAACATCATCAGACTCATTCTTCATCCACTTTTGTCTCAGCCTGGCCAGCGCGTTCAGTTTTGGGGGATTAACTGCGCCATATAACGGGATTCGCAGCCCGGGCACACGCACGGTAACGTCCTCCCCGTGTTTTATGCCCACGGTGCACGCAACCCCGCGCTCAGTCACTCCACGCAAGATCGAGACAGAAGCCCCGCGTCACCCGCCCGGTCGCCGGGGGTCTCCGCCCGGGCTGGCTCACCCGCACGGGGGGGTGCTCCCTGGGCGACGGGCCCCCGCCTCGGAACTCGCTCATCGGTCCGCGGCTGCCTCCACCTTCGGGGGAAGGGTAGCCCCTGGCCGGCGGGGAGCGCCGGTAGCCCCCGGCGTGGCCGTGAAAGCCGGGGTGGAAAGGCTGGCGCTCCCGGTCCCTGTCGTCCCGGTAGGGCCCGGGCGGCCGGGAGCGCCGGGGAGGCGAGGCGCCCGCCGGACCCCGGGGAGGGTAATTCCGGGGGTAACCTCGGTGCGGCCGCCCACGAAACATCCTAGCCCCTTCAGAGCCGGCGAAATCCAGGAAGAGCTATTGCCGCGGTCTGAATGGCGTCAGCGGGCGAGCGATCGGTGCCGCAGTAGCTGGCAGGACGGTGCACAGAAAACGGCATTTGTCTCGTTCAGCGCGGCTCGCTTCCTCTCTCCCACCAGCCATGACGTCCCGACCCGCGGTGGCCTACCGAAACATACCGGAGTTCCCAACCTCAAGGACGACGCGTTCTTCGCTGCATCAGGTTTACAAAACGCGGCGAAACAGGTGGAACAGGACTTCTGGCCAGTTCTGAAAGGTTGGGTATCGGCGCTGAAACCGCATTGCTTGTATATTCTACGCCGTAAAAATGTAAAATGGAGGTGGTGGTGGTGGTGGTGGTGGGAGGGGAATAAAAGATGTTATTTTAAAAAAGTCCACTTCATTTTATTATTAAAGGGTTTAGAGTCTTTCGTTCAGAAACTGTCACTTTCCAACAAGTTTTCTGTTCATTAAAAGAAAAGATTTTCTTCCCTTTAGCTTGCATGTCAACTCCGTGGCTCTTCCAGCTGGCCAACATGATGCGAGCGGACCTGTTGCAGAATGAAGACCTCCACATGTTTTGCATATTCACAGCAGTAGCACGTCTGGACAGTCAGTTAAAAAGGCTGCGTAATGTAAGCTTACACATAAATGTGAAAACTAGTAGCCAGATACACACACTCCTATGCGTTTTAATTAAGTTGTTAAGGTTTGTGGAGCTAATGATTATGAAGTTGATCAAAAACAGCCAGGAGACCGATATTAATGATTCAACAGAAGTGTAGGCGGCGATCTACTGCAGTATTAAACTTGTATTTTACATACGGAGTTCATTTAGGGAAATAGTTAAAAAAGTTAATGCAGAAACACTCATCTTAGTGTATTCTTGTTGCTGAGAAGGATCGGTTTAACAGAATAATCTTGTACGATTATAAAACACGATTAGGCTATTAGACTACTTTTGAACTCTTTAGTTGATTTGTTACCACTGTGCCGCTTTCTTGTGAAAAGTTATTCCATAGAGATTAATGTGAGGGGAAGCGTTAAAGTGGAGCTAATTTCTGTTGTAGAGGACAGTCACGTCTGATATGGGTGAAGAAAAAGTGCAGTATTTAATTTTAAAGCAATTCGGTGGAAATTCCATTCTACAGTTTATTCTTACACAGCTTTATTTTTTATTTCTGACATTTATTCTTGGCTGGATGACAACCGAAGGAGATTTAAGTGTTATTGGTCAAGGAAAAGGTGCCGAAATCGTTCAGCGAAGGGTAAGGACTTAGGTTGATGGAGCCCCAGAATCGGCAACAGTAACAAAGGTATCATCGGCTGCATTCAGGTGTGGGCATGAGACCCTTGACGACGACCGGACATCCAGACACCCTGCTGCTGTCATGGCTGACATGTTGGACACATCCATGATTTCTACAACATCGATGGATTCCGAACAGAATCAAGTCATCACATCCTAGAAATCAGCCAACCAGCTTTCATACCTGCCTAGTTTGGACTAGGGACATTATCATTAACCACTGGGATCCTCAAAACCTGGCAAAACCCATTGCAGTCAAAGCACCTGGGGTCCCCATTACCAAAAAGGTGCCACAGTTGGCCACCAGCATAAATGATCATGATTACTATTATGTGAAATTCAAAACAAAGTGTTAATTTCTTCTTATATGCATAAATAACCATTCCAAATGGATTGCTTAACAAAATTAAGCAATTCATCAAGCAGGAAGAAAAGCTGACCAAAGGTGTGCATAAATCCTGTGGAGTTCAAGCCACTATTCACAAAAAGGACTTCAAGCAGATAATAATAATAATAACTTTATTTATAAAGCACCTTTCCATACCCAAGAACACTGTACATAGTGAACAAGAAGTAAAAGAGGGGAAAAAATACAATAAAATTAAAAAATAAACATGAACATGCAAGACAGAATATAGGGTAATCAGACATATGTAAACATAGGTTTACATTTGAAAAAAGTCATAGAATCTGTCTCTCCAAGAGTAGGGGGGAGGGCATCCCATAACAAAGGTGCAGTCACAGAGAAAGCAGTCACCAGAAATCTGAGAGCCATTCTCTCCTACAAGCGCAGAACTGGCCCTGAGCCACTATTGACGATTATGAAATATTAGTGTTCACCTTTGTCATATGTGGCCCATTTTTAAAGACAGATGAAGAGCTCTGCTATGCAACCACAGGCATTTTTCAAAAGAGAAACAGGTCATTTGCAAGTGGATCAAATTCAAATGTTATTAGCGACACCTCGCACATCTGTTTTAAAACAACTTATTCTGGAAAATTACTGCTCCACCCTCACCGACGAACTACTCCCCGGTCATACAGAATGTTCTTTTTTTTTTTTTACAAAAAGCAGACAGATGTCATTAAAAAAGCCTTTATTGACATGGTACAGGTGAATTTATAGAAAATTAGAAATAGAAAATAGAAAGAATTAGAAAATCTGACCTTGATTAACAGGTGAGCAGCAAGCTGAAAAAGTCCATCTCCAACCAAGGGAAGCAATGACTCCTAAGGGGAAGAGAGAAGTCCATGTGAGATCCATTTAGTCATTTATTTCAGGCAGGAAAGCCTCCTGTAGAGCCTGTTCTGTGTCGGTTGGCACTATTCTCCTTGCACCCCTGAGATGTTCTTTATCCTGATTTACGGATCATGACAGTAAAATTCTTTGTCCATCTGTAATTGAAAATACCATACCTCCCTTGTGGAAAAGGCATTCTTAAACTGCCATAGGCCTGTCAGGTACACAGACTGATGGCTTCCAAATATCAGGTTCTGAGGCATATTTAAAACCTTAATTTTACATTGATAAAATTAAGGTTTTATCAGATTGATAAGCATTTAAACGAAACAGACTATATTCTCCTCACTTAAAATGACTTTTTTTGACTACCAACTGATAAAAGTTAGAGGATGTTATAGACATAATGTAGTGTAAATACTATATTATTTTAGTTGTACTATGGTATGAGGGCGTCTACTTTTCGCCTGCAATTCATTTTAACCTTGTATTAGATTATTATATTTTTAAATCTATTATCTGCCAAAAAAACATCACATTAGTTCACTAGATATTAGAGTGTAAAATCTCACAGGTATCGCACAGAATTGGGATTTTCATTGTTACCCGAGGAAATGGCTGAGGAACACGTGTGTAAAAATATATTGCACAACATATACTTTCTATATGTATAATGATCTCTCCATTACAAATGTGATTTGTATGTGCAAGTTTGAACACAATGTATTTCTAAACAGGTTTAAAAAGTTAAGGTTTTACACTTACCTCAGGCACCAACTCACTGGAAAAATGCTCCTGATAACACTCATTTGGTTATAAAAAAAAGCACAATATCACAAAACAGGAACCACCTCAATCAATACCTCTATAAGGTGTGAATACGTAAATAATACCTGGGATATGTAACATTTCAAAGCTTCACTGTGCTGATGAATCAATATTCCAAATACATACATCAAATATTATTTCGAGAACGTTAAAATTGAGAGGCTGAATTATTTTTAGCAGTGTGTGCGGTATTGATAACAGAGCTATTCCGCACAAAGGAAAAGGCTTTTTGAGAAGTATTTTACCGAACCCCGCACACATCAGCAGGAAATGATCTGTTTCTGCTGCAGTGCACATTCCATGTTTTTCTTTAGTCCTAAAGTGTGCTTATTTGTTAGATTGCAATCAGACTAAGTGAATGCCGGTCCAAAGTGACTCATGTGGACTGCACATTTGTACACTTTTTACACTCAAGTCAGCTGTTTTTGAACCTCCCAAAGTATCCATCTTGCCATCCTCCGATTTAAGTGGAGTTTTAATGTATGAATAACAGTGAGCTTCCTGCCTGCCACAGCCACTTTACAGAAGGGAGCAGACAACCTTTGCACTGTAGTCCCACTGCTTGACTTGACTTCTATCCAACAGGCAGCTTAATTGACTTTTAAGCGTTTGAACTAATCCAAGAAATCACTTCAAAAATGGAATCGTGCCAAGAACCATATATACTCTTTTGTAATATTTTACATACTCCATCTTTAACATCCTGGAAGTTATTTTTACTCTCCCAAGTTCATTAAGTCACAACTTAATTCAATAATATTGAAAGCAAAGCTGTAACTTAAGAACGAACTGCTCATTAGGTATTAAGCCGTTTTCTTCAAATTGAGATCTCTATCATAAATTCTCTCCAACAATGTCAACAATGTTGGTGATTTTGCTAATTAGGAAAAAATTGCTATTTCTGTTAATCTTTATGGTCATCATAATACTGGGGTATCAGTTTGTTTCTGAATTATTTCACCATGCCTCCTGACACACAAAACATTTAAATAAGTGTAAGAAAAGCTGCCCCTAAAAAAAGTAGACCATTTATAACCAGGAAGAAATATTTAATGCCACAAGAAATGATTAAATTAGGCTGTTAAAAAGGTGTGTTCAAGGATACTTGAATAGTGAAAAACAAAACACAAACTGAAAAGAACCATTGTATTAATTAACTGACATGTAGGACCACAGCAGATGAACTGGAATTCAGAGACATCAATGTGGAAAATGTTTTATTACAAACAAAAATACCATTGTGAGCTTTATATAATAAAGACAAATAATGGTTCTTTTTGTGTAACATAACTTCCGCGTATGTATACAATGTATACACACAAAGACAATTATGGATCTAACATACAGTATATCATGCTCATATATACAGCCATTTATGACATATTTTACTAGCAATGGTAGGTTCACAGAAGTCTGTTCCCCAACTTGCAACTACAAAAAAAAAAAAAACATGCAGCTTCAACTCTGCTGGGATGATCCATTGGCTTAGCAGCTCCTCCCTATGGCACTTCGCTTGCCCATTTCTCCAAGAAATGCTGCATGTCAAGGTTAAACATGTCAATACCTGCATCTGACAAGTGCACCCCATCAGGTCGGTACAATCCTAACTGCGAGTCCACCTGGATGCTGCCGTGACTCAGCGCTGCTCCTCCCACGGCGCCCATTTCCCTCTTCACCTTGTCGTTGGTCAGCCTGCGGATGTTCTCTGCCATTGCCGCATCCCCGCAAGTCCTCCAGGTACCGCGGGGCAGGATGTTAGACCAGACTAACAGGCAGTCCGGGAAAATGCTCTTCATGGACATCAAGTCCTTCCTAACGGCCAAAATGAACTCCTCCGGTTTCGACTTGCCCAAGTCATTTCCTCCAACGTGCATGATGATGACGTCGGGGTTAGGCCAAGTCCCCTTCATCTGCAGCAGAAAAGGAAGGAGCTGGTCCCAAGTCATCCCCTGTGTGCCTTTCCACCACAAACGCACACAGTTTGGATCCATCCCCAACTGCATACCGTACTCTGGCGATTTTGCCCTCTTCTCTGCCCAAAACACAAGTGAATGGCCGCAAATCCAAACATTCTTTACTTTTTTGCAGGCCTTACCTGCAAATGCAACACACAAGATGTTAACCTCACAAACCGGCAAAGTGTTGCGCGGCATGACGACACTTTTCATCTCACAGTTCTCCACTGATTCCAAGTGCAGGGAGTAAGGAGAGGTTCCTCCGAGTTTTTTCAGTTGAGAATTATGGATTCAGATCTTACAAGTTGGCTTCAGGGATTCTCAGAACAAAAACATCAAGTCTGTGCACAGCATTAGGAAGAAAGATGATTTCGCTTTGATGCTACATTTAATTACATTAGACCGTTGTTGCATGAGAAAGGAGTGGTGCTTTTTTAAGCTTTCTAAACATGGCTGACACAAAAAACAATTTCTTCAATACAAATAAAGGATAAGCCAATAAAGTGAAATTGACTGTGGCTTGTGCATGGTGTAACACAATGGCGTTATCGAATATAACAGCTTTCTGAAGAGTATGTGCTGGACGATGTATGCATTGGAGAAAACAGATGTCTGGAGTCTTCTCCAGAGACATGACGCAGGAGGTGATGCTTTTTGGTCACCATAGGTGAAACATCTATGCAGCATTGCAAAACCAAAAGTGGATTGGTATCCACGCAATGACATCACCCACTGGGGACACTAGCATGTTTCAGGTTATGTCCAAACGGCGGGAAAGTAATTGAAGACAATCTGGCAACCAGAAGGTAGGATTTTTGCCCCTTTGCTCCCATGAAGGGAGCTCTCAAATGTCGGAAGTTCAGTGCAGGAAGTTCAGCCTTGTGAAGTGTGACTGGATGGACTGCTAGAGTAGTATATGAAATTGAATATCTTCCAAATCTGTTAAGCATGTTTGGTCAATAATTCACAAATTCCTTTATTGACTTAGCCTCATATTTCAGAAAGTGGTCAAATCTAAAATGCTGTTCAACATACAGACATCCTCCGAGTACACATCAATAGCTTTACACAAGTATACTCACCCAAACTATGCCCTTGCAAAAATATTATGAAGGAACAGAACTGTAATCCAAAGGCAATTTTGACAGAATAAATTTAGCTAATTCTGTTGTATCTAAACCCATTCCTTGACCTCACTCACCACTGTTAACAGAAATGCTATGATCACACTTTCTTGAATCACATTATCGAATCGCATAAATGCAGTAAAACACAAGATGTTTCGCACCGATATAAATCAACGAGTCCGTGTACTGGAAATCTGATACACACAGTGGGGATACTGTACTGGGGAGGAGCGGAAGTGAACCATCTGGGCTTCTGTCACAGGTACTGCAGCTTTTCTCACTGTCTGCAAGACTGCAAGTGAAGAGTGACACTGTCGCGTTCAATGGCTGCACTAACACACTGCATAGTCTTTCAGAATATTTACAGTGCCGACAGCCAAAATGTTTAGTACAGGAAAGACCAAAATTACTGGGATCAAAATGCTTTTGCATGTTAAACCCCAGGAGCTGACGTAAAAGGAGCTAGACTGTCTGTCCACAGACTTTTAAAAAACAGCAAGGAATTCCAAAACGTGAAATGTGAACTTGGAGGCAATAAAGCACAGCAATGGCAACAAGCAAAAGACAAGTTAAAATCTGAACAGAGCTTCAGTTTTACCAGAAGACATTCTCCATGGGTTGCCAATAACGTACATAATAATTTTGCATCAGTAGTCGTCACATTATAACGGATTTACAAAAGGCAGCTGAGAGCTCCTGAACAACAGTCTGAGGAGAAATAGCAGCACAAAAATACAGCAGCTACTAAGCCTATCCAGTTCATATAGAACACTCTCTTGACTACCACAAGGATCCTGTAAATTCACACTACAGGTGGCTCAACAATGTCATCGAGAAGGACTCTTAGCTTCTGTCTTGCATTAATGGGGCGCTAGATTACGTCTTAGGGTCCCACTGATTCAGCTCTTTGGACCTGCGTAATAACTACTAGTGAGTTGAGGTGGCCCCCAAGGACAGGCCAAAGACTGCCTTCTCTATAGGCCAGGGGCTGTGGTAACACACTGCCATGCCTGTCTGACTATGCAATGCAATTCCCGGCCACCTTCCAGCGGCCAATGGAAAGGGTACCAAGTGGCGTGCTCACCTCAGAGTGCCCAGTGTACCCGGATGAACCGCTGGTGCAGGCACCCTTGTTTTCTGAGGTCCTGGACAACTAAAGAAAGGTCATGGACCGCCTAAGGAAGGCAGGTCTCAAGCTTCATCCAAAGCAAAGTCCACTCCTGTGGCAAGAGACTCGCTTGCTGGGACAGATCACTGGCCACAAGGAGTCTCCGCAGACCCCGGAAAGGCGGCCACACTCCTGGCGGCTCAGGAATTCAGGGGTTTCATTGGACTGGTCTCCTACTTATGCCATTATGGTGGTAAAAATAGGTTTAAGGAAACTAAAGCCCTTTTCATCTCCAATAAATCACCACAGAAAGACTAGACCGGAGTGCATCCTGGCAAACAACAGACACAAGGCAGGATATCGCCTAGACAGGACACCAGTCAATCACAGGGCAAACACACAAACACACAAACTAGTGCCAATTTTCCCAGAAGCCAATTACCCTTCCAGTATGTCTTTGGACTGAGAGGCAGCAATGCTAACTACTGTACCACTGTGCCACCCTAAAACCAAAACAACACACTGTAAATCCATGAACTTGTACCCGTAAGGGAAAGTAACTAGACCTTCACAAATAGAACAAGGTACCTTTCAAGAATCACAGCCCCCCAATTACCAAAACAATAAGACCTGTTCATCCGTAGTATACTTGTATGCTTATATCATTATCACCCACAAAAACTATTAATTTAAGCTAATTCAGCTTGTGTAAATTAAGGCAAATCTACCGGAGTTTTTGTTGATTTAAAATGTTTTTCTGTCTCTTATGTCTCTTAGCTGGATTTGCTGAATTTTATTATCTTTCAGTATATGATTCTTTTAAGAGGAACATATCTGATTATTAGTGTTCTATAACACCACATATGCAGTTTCCTTACATATAGTTGAACAATATTAAAATGCAATTAAGTTTCTTACAGAAAGTACAGCAGTTTCAAGTACAAAATTCAAAACATTCTTAACTCCTTAAACTAGGTACTAGAGGACACTAAATTGTACAAGTGATTCATGTTTTTAGGTAACTACTGCAGTCAACATAGATACATGTGTTTTTGGGGTTAACCTTCAGTGTTCCACCCAGTCACACTTAAACACTAGAAAAAACATGGCTTAATCGGCCTCTGAGTTCATCTACAGACTTGACTTTTAATAAGCTGATTGCTGCAAGTCCTGGCTTGAGATTTGCAGTAAACGAAAACCACAACAGGAAACAGAAGTCACACATGCCAGCTCCTAGTACCCCAGGCACCCCTGTGCTGCTTCATGTTTCTAGTGTTACTTTCATCCATGAAAAACATCTGTTGAAAAAGAAACTTTCACCACATATAAACTGCAAAGCATATATAAACAAACAGATAAAATCTGATGAAACACAGTGTTACTCCATCAAAAGTGTAAGGCAAGGAAAAAGTTGTCAAGGTCATTCTTAATTCATGAAACTCTGTCAAAACAAAGTTAAACATTAAAGTAGACTAAAACAATTACAGATGTTTGGCTGTTTCATTAGTTGCAAGTTCCCTTGACCAATGCAAATATGTTTTTCCTTGTTCATGGCAGTTAACTGAACTTTCTTAATGATAGAAAAATAATTAGGTTTCAAAAGGAGAAGTATGTACCTGGCAGCTTTTTCTGACGGTCAGGGTCTTTCTTTTCCAATTGAGAATCCTGCTGTTCTTTTTTCCGTCTCATTCTTTCTTTAAACTCTTCCAGCTGGATGAAAAAGGGAGACATATCAAGTTTAGGCTGTAATAAAACACCGGAACCAGTGTGATTGTTAAATATAAAAAAAAATAACTGAAAACAAAGGGACGTGAGCATCTACGAATATGTTTAAACTTTAGAATGAATATCGACAAAAACCTTCAGTTTTATTGAATATGTCCCTTCTTATGATGAACTCACAAACTCCAGCTACAAACATTCTGCAACGTCTGCTGAACCTTTGAAATAGTCACAAAGCAGCAAGAAAACACAAAGTGGCATCTTTTAAGAGAAGAGATAAACGAGAGTGCCTATACCCGTTTCTTCTGTTTGGGTTTAAGACCTTCAGATAGCTGTGGTGGGTCGCTATTGCCTGTCGGCCCGGGGGAGAATGCAGGAGACTTTTCCTGTCTGCAAGCAGGCGTCACCTCCACAATCACGGACTCCTTGCTCTTGGCCGGCGCAGTCGGGCTGATTTTCACCGTGTTGATTACTCGCAGGTAGCGCCTCGAAGACGGTTTGTCCTTGGCGGTCAGGGCGGGGGAGACGCCGGCAGCGCTTGCCGAGGCCGGGGCGAGACCACACGCCGGGCCCCCTGCAGGTTCCTGGGAATACACCGGCAGCCCAGCCAGGGGGTTCTGCGGGAAGGGGGGGTAACCGGACAAAAGTCCGCCCGATAACTGGAGGGGGGGGAAGCCCGGCGGGGCCGCAGGAGGGGATGGGAGCCCGAGAGCCGAGTGAGAGTGGAAACCCACTGGCGGCTCCCATGGAGGTAACGGCACACCAGCAGAAACCCCTTGCAGAAAATGCAGCAGGGGCTGACCAGGAGGTCCCATCTGATAAGTTAAAGGATAACCACCCAGCTGGTCAGAGAAACTAGGTGAAGGCACGTCTGGCGGAGGGGGAAAACCAGGCCACCCGGCAGGCATGGGCAGCGCGTGGCCCGCAGAACCGTCGGGCGCGGGCCCGAACGCTTGGTACTGAGGATAGTGTGGCACAGAGTAAGCCGGCGCCTGGGGGGGGAAAGGGGAGGCAGACGGAGCCATGGGAGCAGCTGGAGAGGGAGGAATGGAGTGGTGCGTCCGGCCGACACCCTGAGAAGTCACAGGGACCTCCATCTGCCTTTCCCGCTCTGCGATGCTCCTTTCTGAAGGCTGCCGCTCCGATTCTGGGGACTTCGTCTGGCTGCGCTGTCTGACTACGTTCCCAGTGGCGGCTGCTCCCGTTTTCACTGGCTCCCTGTCCGAGGAATCGCACGACTTGGATTTCAGCTTCTTCCCATAGAGGCGTTCCTGAGTCCTCATTGCCAGCTTACTTACTTCAGCCACCCCGATGTCCAACCCTATTGTTCGGAGAAGTGTCTGGATTTTATCATAATTCTGGGCCGCATCTTCATCTTCTCCCTCCTCTTCTTTCACTGCTGCAGGGCTCTGCCTCTTGGACATATCAGATTTGGGATGGAGGTCATTTGTGGACGCGTCCTCGCCGTAGAGAAACTTCTCCTCGTCTTCAATGTGCAGAAAACCCTTCCAGTTCTCCTCTGAGCTAAGCAGGTCATGTTTAATTCCCAAAATGCGGGAAAACCCACTGCTATCCTTACTGGCCTTCTCGTGAGGAAGAAGGAAATCATCCTCTGGTTCTTGGGATTTGCTTCTCTCTTCCTTGCCCTCATGGGGGAAAGAGTGCTGAGGAACAGGCCTGCTGGTTTCTGGCACGGAGGACTCTTCCCTTGCTTCCCTGAGCAGAGTGGAGAGGAGGCCAGAATCCACCCCTTTGTTGAGAGTGTTGAGGAATCGCTCAATCTGCATAGATAGGTTACTGCTTCTCTTCACCTCTGAGGCTTCACTGCCATTATTCTGTGAAAGCAGAGAAGATTCATTAAAACACAGGATCGTAGAAAAAAAGAGTGATACAGGATTTTTTTTGTCTCTAACCCATATATCATATACTGCAGCACGTTTTTGAAGAGGTCAAATCAGATGTCTGTTGTTTTTAAGGAGTGTAACGCAGATCTTTCTCATCTGATAAGGCATCAAGTCTGATATGACCTGCACAAAATACTTCCCAAATATGACAACTGAACAAAACAAAAAAATGGAAAAACAAGTCTCAAACCTTATTGTTGAAGTCTGGTTCCATTCCAGGATCATTCGGTTTCTTCAAAATAGGCTTTACAGGTAAGGCAGGAGCTGTAGGATGCTGCATATAGCCGCCAGCCTCTGCAGGAAACCGTTTTCTGTAGCTATCATCCTCCACTGCCCTGAAGGACCTAAAGTCACCAGCCTCAGTGGTCCTGCCACTCAGGCCTTGGTGACTATTCTCCCTGTCTATAAGGGTTCTCTTTTGAGCTATATGCTTCTCCAGGATTTCCAGCTCCCTCTTCTTGCTAGCAAACTCCAGATTCCAGTAGCTGTTACTGGTTTCTAAGTGCTGGGGCAATGGACTGGGACTAATGCTCTGGCTGCTAAAACGCTCTGCATTTCTCTCTCTTGTGTAACTCCCATTTCCACTACTATTGGGGCTATCTCTGTGCCTGTGGTGACTGTCACCACCTTCTCTACTCATGTTCCAGCTGCGCCTCCTGCTACTACTCCGAGATCTTTGCCTACTGCGGTACCCACTGTGCTCCCTGCTCCAGCTACGTTTCCTGCTCCCACTCCGAGATCTTTGCCTACTGTGATGCCCGCTGTGTTCCCTACTCCAGCTTCGCTTCCTGCTTCCACTCCGAGATCTTTGCCTACTGTGATGTCCACTCTGCTCTCTGCTCCAGCTACGCTTCCTGCTTCCATTCTGGCTACATTTTCCACTATCATTCCAACTCCTGTCTCTGCTCCTACTTCGACTGCATTTTCCACTGTGATTCCAGCTGTATTCCCTGCTTGTACTCCGGCTGTCTCTCCTCCTGCAGTGACTACTACTTTCCCTGCTCCTGCTGTGATGGCTGCTCAGATATCTGCCCAGCTCCCTGCTTCGACTCCTACTGTGTTTTTTACTGTGACTCCAGCTGTGTTCACTGCTTCTGCTGCGACTGTGCCCTCTAAGCCTCGTGTCCTCTATCCATTCAGTGGGTCGGCACGTATCCGAGCTTCTCCTCAGGACTTCTGGGTCCATGCCATACTCTGAAACCATGTCATTTTCCTCTGCAAATTCTCTTGATCTCTTCTCTTGCTGCAACCGGTACTCAGGGTTTAACCCTTGCAAGTCAATGTCCCCATGGTCCTCCCTGGAGGACAAAACACAGAGATTGTGTCTTTTCAGTCTTATGACAATACATCTTAAAAAGAACAACATTAAAGCCTCCGTGTTCTTACAAAGCTCATTCACTCAAAAGCGCAAAAGCTTTCAGTGGCTACTGATCAAGTTTAGTAGAGGTCTAGTAAACATACTTTAGTGAACTTCAGGAATTAGCACACAAAATTGGTGCATTTAATCATCACGCTGTGTGCACCGATTAATCCTCTGTTATTAACATTCAAAAACTCATAGAATATTTTACAAATCAAACATATATAATCAGATATTTTCCAAGAACTCTACAGACTATACCACTTTTCAGCAGGAGAAATGAATGGCACAAGAGCAGTTCCCACTGGTGTGCACAGAACTAAACAAAAAATGCAATAACTGGGACATAATTTAGAGAAGTGGACCTGCATGATTATATTCCAAGTAGCCACTAAGGTATTTCTCCGATTGTAGAGATTTTCACATTAAGTTTCCAACAGCCTGAGACATTACATAATACGTAGATACCTTGCATGACAAATTGCATTCTAATGTAAAAACAAAAAACCCTTTTCTAAGCCTCATGTAAAATCCAAGGCTTGTTTTGTCATAATACTGCAGTTGTTGAGAAAAACTATTTGAAATTCAAAAGCCGTTTTGATCACCAACCAGTGAGGTTCACAACCAGCAACGAAGAGCAGAATCCAGAATGTGAAAAACACATTGCTCAAAGGCTGGCTTATGAGTGAACACTGAAGCTGATCAGAAGCTGTTCATGTCTTTTCATTACAGCTGACTCCTGCCTCCTCTCTATTTCAACAATTCAGAAGACACTGACTGACATTTCAGCTGCTTACACTCGCAGAACTCTTATACCTGCATCCTCGAACTGAGCTAAAAGAAAGCCACCAGCTGACGCAGTGCCCAGACCTGTCCAAACCATTTGCAATGCCCAAAGTGAAACTCACCCTCGGTGGAAGAGTTCTTGAGCATTTTCCTCATCAAAGGAACCGAGGTTAACTTTCAGGTTCGATATACTGGGACCTATTGAGTCTTTCAGGAACTTGAAGCTCATTTTCTTCTAAAGAAGGGGACACGAGGGCACAAAAGAAAACAAAAACTATAAATGGGCAGCACTCTTTCACACAAGAAAAAACTCTTTTTCATTCGTTCACTCTGGTTTACATGCAGTCTTGTATGCACAGAAAAAGAAATGAAATTCTTATTCTGTAACATTAATTAGCATTCACTATGACAGAGACGTAATACTACAAAGGATGCCTTCCGTTCACTGGGACAGACTTCTCAGGTCTTACAGCGTCCAGCACCGTTTTCAAAACTACAACTATTTAAATAAAAAATGGGAAAGAAATAACCTTTTCTCTTGCTTTGTAGTCAACGGTCTCACTCTCAGAACGAGAGCTGGGAATCGCTGCGTTTTTAAGTTTCTTTATCCGTACTGCCTGGTCCCTTTGATCATCAGACGCAACCTGGAAAGTGAGAGATTACTGACGTGTGCGTGCAATCCATAAATTACTGAAGACTGTTAGCTCACAGACCATTACGAATTTATTGAAATTCAATTTTTTACATAAAATCAATAATGTCATGTCAGAAAATATCAATTCAGACAATTTATTTTACCTCTGAGACTTACATAACCCTGGTCCTTCCATACATTTGTGACTTCTCATTCTTTGTAATGTTTTTATTCATTGGAACTTTTAAAAACAAAATTCCATGCATCCACTATCAGAAAGGCACACTTGACATTTTTGCTCATTGAACATACACAAAATGGATTTCTGTATTTTTCATTTTATGAGCTTTTGGTAAAAAAAAAATGCTGCATTAGATGGAGTATACACTTGTAAACCTAAATGATTTTATTTTGTAATACCAGTTAATAAAAAATGTTACAATCGCTAGCAGCTTTGGCTTCAAGAGAGATTCTTTTGTGCATCATAAAAGGCAAGAATCTGGACAACAGGAGACCCGATACTGTCCTGTAATGGGTGAAGCCCTGCTAACGCTGACTGCCAGCACTGCGAGGTCAGAGCCACAGTGGTGCACTTACATGGACTGCTGTGAACTCCACTTCATCAGAGATACAGAGCCTGTCCTCGCCCATGACCTCGCTTAGGCAAAAGAACATTCTCGGGCTGCGCTTGCACTTAATGAACCCACAGGATGCCCCTGTGTCAACTACCACACCCTAAAAGGGAAACAAACACAGATGACTGCACACACAAAGCTGTTGGTTTTGGCAAGTTGACCAGCTTCTATGTTCGTGAGATTGGACTTTTTTGCCATCTCATTTTTCACCGCACTGTTTTTTCTTTCGCAGTTACAAGCAGGGCTGTTCCCTGCTCTGTGCTGTGCTTGGGGATACTCTGTACAAACAAATGTTTGGCATGGGCTGATGAGATAAAGAAGGGTGCCCTGCTGGCGTCAGCGGATCCCAGCTTCTATCATGATGCATTCAAGCAAGACATTTTGTTTAGTTTTATTTTCTGCACCCAGAAGACTCCTGCATAAGCTAAGTAACCCTAATGTCTGGGTACAAAATTGCTACATTAAGCCCTCAACTGAACACCAGGTTATATTCCTGAAGGCACGGGTTTCAAGGATTTCTATATCCTGTGTATTTGCAGCCATCAAGTCTCTGCATAAAACCTATGTAACAGCTTCTGGCCACTGTTAGATTATAAGAAATAATGCACATCTATCTTTCCAATCTGAGCTTTTGAACAGTAAGAGGAAAGAAACTAAGTATTGTACCATACACACTGGGGATGACCTGAAAACTGCTGCGGACAGGTGACTGACAGGCCATGCCACGATGATGAAGATGATGACTGGTTGGTCACCTCTCAGGAAACAAAGCTGGCACGGTGATGAAGTTTTGTACTTTCTTACAGTACCCATGTGTATAGCTAAAAGAGTATTCCAGAAGATTTGTACTTTACAGCTTTTCTCAATTTTAGACTAGGTGCTCACCTGCTATGGGTGTACTGATTTGTGTTCAGTCATGGAGAGGTATGCACTGTAAAAAGGATTCATGCATTCTATTCATTTCGTACTGCAAAAAAAGGTGCACACAACCTGGGTCTACTGTACAATGAAGAAAAACCCCATAACTCACCCTCACCCCAAAAGAAAGAGTGAGACCAAACCTGCCATCCTTTTACAGCTTCAATAAACACTGTTTTAGACCAACAAGCTTTGTGGGTATTAAAAAGCAATTCAGTACACCCTGAAAGGCTCAGAGTTTTGATAGAACATCTAACGTTGAACTCGCAGAAGCTTAATAAAGAAATACACTAACAAGCTTGAGAAAAGTTACAAACAGGGAGCACATGATAAATGCAGGAAAGAAAAGCACATTGCGAGGTAGAGGACAAGATGCACTTGATTGGGCTCCTGAGAATGTTACCATTACCGTTATTCTCAGCTGTGGGAAAGGAGCTTACCGTTTCTCGAGTTTCCTTAGTAAACTGGAACGTGTCGGGCAGGATCTCAATGTTGATGGCGCGTTCTGCCCCAGTGCTTCTGTTTGTGGAGATGTTGAACTGCACATGATCGCCTTCAAACACAGTCATCTCTGTCTGCAAGTCCCTCGCCCCAAAAGGCAGCTCTTGATCTGAGCCATTTATCCTCACCAAGACACGGCCTGGGAAAGATTCAGGTCCAGCAATCTGCAAGTACAAGCAAAATTCAATCCCAGCATCACTCCAGTTCAGAAAAAGAAAACAGTTTCTAGGTGGGCTGACCTGAAATTGTACACAAGATCTGAGGTCTGTCAGACCTGTGTAATCAAAACTGCCTGGAGTGCATTTTGTGCCCGATTCCTCCTAATGCAAGTTAAATTACACTTCTTTGACCTCAATGTCTCAACACAAAACGTTACTAGCTGGACTTACTGCAGCAGAAACAATTTGCTAATTATTACAAAGAAACCTTCTACAAAAGTAACACTGATACTACGGCGGATACCTGTTTTGTGTTGCAGAGTTTTACTGTTGGCTTGATGACCACTCCATCATACAGCTTTGTACCGACATCCTCAAAAACAACAGTCCTCTGTGGTAGCACCTCTGGGGTCACTGGTTTCCACTGAAAAGACAAACCAGCCAGAAAATCTCCTTTGACCTCCTGTGATCGCAGCACTGTGGCATCCACACAGTCCTTCAAAGTATTAAAACACAACAGCAAATCTCCAAGAAAGCACAGCAAATACAAAAATTAAAAGGTGCTAAGAAACAATGTGACGGAATGGAGACAACATTCCTAGACTCTGCTGGTCGTAGATAACTTCTATGTTTGGAGAAATACAGACAAAGTACTACTTTGGCTTCTTTCTCTGCAAGGCAGGACATATTTTGTATTTCTCATGTGGTGTGTTGAAGGGTACATGGAAAAAAAAGAGGTTTCCTGAAACACTTAACATTAAATGAATATCTTTTTTTTTGTATTTGTTTTTTTATTCCGAATCGAGATGGAAATAAACAAGAAAGACATTAAGACTATTTCACACACTACAGCCCTACCTTCTCTTTGTCCTTGGTGACAGTGGGGGCTGCCAGAGTGGATTTCTTTTCCACAACCTCCACAAATCTCTGCTCGAATGGCGTTCTACCGGACACCGAGTTCTCAGGAAGCTTCTTGACTCTTGCTCCCTTCTCTTGCCCTGCGCTCTCATCCTAAGGGAAAAAGCAATTATTTCAATGCTGTGCACCATTTGGACTCAAATAAAAAAAAGCAATTGAACAATGTGGCATGATTTCACAAAAGTGTCAGCACTGTTACAGTGCAGCAGAAACGTGTTATAAGTGTGTGTCTAGCTGACAGTGAAATCCAGTCCTACATATCAGCCTATCGGCATCTTTCTCACCATTTCTCTGGCCTCCCTGGTGTGACGGAAGGAATCCGTCAGGACTGCGATGTTAGTGGCCCTCCTTAGCTGTGTACTGAGGCTCTTGACAATGTTGAATTGCACACGGTCTCCCTGCATCAGAGCCACGTTACTGTCGTCCTCTCCAAACATCAGCACTTTGTCCCCGCCGTACACCTTGGCCTCAATGCGGCCAGGAAGAGCACCTTCCTGGGATTCCTCATTTGCCTGAGGTCATGGTCAACCAAGAGACGTGAAGCTGAATTAGATGGCTCTTATTCAATACAAAAACCATACAGTACAGTCTTATTATGGATGGAAAATGATCGTCTCAGATGTAAAAAAATGTTTTACTACTTGGATCAAATAGGGGTTTGTCTTAGCATTGAAACCAGTTAACGTAAATGCATTCAGATAGTCCCTGGAAATACTTAATCCGAAGTAAAAGTGACCAGCTGAGTGTTACCTGGACACTGCGGAGATCTCTGGTAACGGTTCCTTCAAAAACCTGATCACTTAAGTCCTCAGAGCCCCCAGGCACTATCAAAACATCAGGTGCCCTCAACCTCCCCTAAAAACAAAGTCAAAATCACATATGGGAAGAACGCACACAGAGAATATCAAATATCGAACTAATCTTCTTATAATGTGAAGTATTTTATGACAAGTCACAGAATCACATGGTAACCTGTGGGAGACAAACAGTCCTGAGACAACTCCACTCATCACAAGGACAGGGGCTTCAATAAATTCCTCCAACTTTCTTTTAACAAATTGATCCATTAATCCATTAATTTGAAAAGTCCACCTCCTTTAATTTCACTAACGAAAATATTTCTGAATCGTTTCATTCCTAGACTTGGGAGGAGGAATGTATTCTGTGAAGTTTAAATATTTTCCTAAAATATGGAGGTTTACATGCATGTTCGTTCTGTAAATCAGTAGAAAACATGGAAAGTCTTCAACTTGTTTGCAGGAGCTGTAAGGGTTGGATAATCTCTCCAGGAGGGGTGCATCTGAGAACTCCGAAAGGACATGAATTTTTCCCACTTTAAAATAGCCTTTTATTTTTTTATCCTTTTAAAATATCCTTTATTTTTGTCTGATAAGGAGAACATGAAATTTGCGCTGAGAATACTGCACTACCTGCTATAAGGTAAAATCCAAGTTGTGCTGAACAAGCATTGAAATACCAAATTACTGTTTAACTCCAATATTAGAGAATTTAATACATCTTTCTCCCGTGATAATGACTGCATCACAAAAGAGACATGGCAGTGTTATCACAGTCCACCTAACAGCACCAGCCCATATCGCTGTTACCCGGTCCGGTGGCTCCCTCACGGCCTCCTGTCCCGCACAGGGCCTGGACCCAGAACCAGGACCAGGGCTCATGCCCACGTGGTGGGACGGGGAATCCCAGAACATCCGAGAAGGCCTGGACGGCCCTCTGTGGTCTGGTGGGCCAACGGACATACCACCCTGTGTGGGGAAAGGGTGAGCAAGATGATTCAGGCACGGATATGTGTCCCTGCAACCATTTCCTATACTTGAAATGAAATTGAATATTTCACACTGCATCCCTATTCTAAAGGGTTCATGGAAGACAGAACAGAACTGAAATATACACTGATCCAAAACAACAGGCTTTGTGACACAGTAGCAGGACTGTGGCCGTCCTCACAGTAGTAATTTTAAGAAAAATAAAAGAACATCATGCATACAGTATGTCAGTGGGTCACATATGGCTTAGTGGCTATTGTGTGTCAGATTATTTTAACCCATATTCATACCACCAAGAAAAACCTCATAATGCAGATACCATATTGTCCAACCCACCCAACCCTACTTCTGTCCATCAGGTCTGACCCACACTGGAGTTCAACCCTCATGTCTCCTTTGGCCTTCCCCCAGTAATCAGCCATCTGAGTCTCAGAGATAAGCAGAAGTCATTTGAGCAGGGCAGCACCTGCCATCAGGACAAACAGACTGACCTTATCTCTCATACCCTCTGGCCTTGATAAGAGAGAGAACACTGATAAAAGGAGAGGAATACAGTCCACGTTATGTGTATATAACCTATTGTATATTATCTACATGCTTATTTAATTTGCAAGGCATTTGGTAGTATTTTCTTCTATTCTGCACTCTATGTTAATGCTCTCAGACTTCCTTACTTCATTCTTTAGCTTTTCCTGATCCTTCCTGCAATCCCTATGTGACATTCCACTGCTGCCCATTGTATAAGGCACAATTAGATTTGTAATTGTTTGATTCTGCTGAGTACCTGGTTTTACAGCAGTAACCCTTCTCATGCCACAAATCCTCTGTCCACCTCCCTTTGCTGAAGCACACTTCTGTCCACCTCATGCATTTTACTTTATTCAGGAATGACCAATACTGTGAACTTCACTAATGTTGCATTTCAAGGTATACACATATGGATGGATATAGAGTTGCGTGAAAACCTAAACATTAAGTAAGGGTTTCTTGGCAGGAAGCAAAGCAAAGAAACAGCTTAGAATTCATGTGTATGTAGTCCTTGCAAGAACACAGAAGAGTATATAACTTTCAGGTACTCTCTGCGTGCGTAAGCGCACTTTTCAAAGCTTAAGAAGTATGAAAATGTGAAAAAGTCATGGACCTACAACTGATTTTATATTCACCCCTTCTTCTCTTGCTCTCTCATCACTCAGCATGATTTTCAATTAAGTAAATACAATAGCATTAATTAGAGAGGCCTTCCTCATTGTGTGCTTGCACGCAACTAAGCAACAGAAATAAACTTCTAGTGATCCTTCTCTAAAGGCCCAGGATGAGGCCTTGCACATTTGTGGCCTTTCCCGACATTCTACTGCCAGACTTATGAGAGTCCTCCCAGCCGGCTCTTGGGCACTCACACCCCAGGGGATCCCAGCCTCCTCCTCTTGCGGCCAGCAAGTCAGTCCTCAACCAAGCCAGTTAAACCAATTCTACTGTGGCTACAGCATTCAATAAACCTGGGTGCTGTTATTCCTTGTGAATTAAGAATGGGGTGCATACACAAGCACTACAGAGGCCAAAGGCATGTTAAAAACCCCTCAGTGCAAAAAGAAAAAGGCCTTAACTGTCTTAAAACAAGAAGGGTGGAGAAACTTAAGAGTTTAAAGCAGTCTAAGGAGTCAGGTTATGTCCATGCTTACAATCCTTAATGAAACTTACAGGTTGTTTTATTGGAATAGCAGCAAGGTTTTCGTATCCCCACTCAGTAGTTTGGGAATGTATTCAATCATGAAAAGCAATAATTAAAAGGCAGCCTCCAATGCATTTAACAGCTGAACACTGTCAAGGTGAGCTGAAACCCGAACCCACAGGGGTGTGTGTGGGGCCCTGCAGGACCAGGACTGGAGGAGCAAGAGGTTCCTTTCAAGTTGAAGAGCAAAAGAAAAAAAAAAACAGTCTCTGAGGTCATCTTCAGACAGGTGAAGAACGTGAAAATGGCCATACAGCAGGAATGGTGTTTATTTTCCTTCCTTTGACTATTCAGCGTGGAATTAACCTCTGCTTGTTCTTTTCCAGGTCCCCTTCCTACCTCTGCGCCACTCTTCTCTTCAGTGGGCTTTTGGAAATAAAATACTCTTTTACTGTATTTTGTTCTGTACGGTGCCCAGCCTCGCTGAATTCACCACAGGATGGTACAACACGGCCGTCAATTCTTAGAACGATAACTGCGGCATAAAAACCGAAAACAAAAGACGAAAGTGCCATCACACCGATTTGCATAGAAATTCACTCAGCACAAAGGATATCCAGTCTTTCGTTCTCTTTTTACAAACTGAAATGGGGGGGGTGGGGGATACAATGGCACACAAAATACGGGAGGTGACCCTAAAAACACCAACTAGCTTAACAGCGGAAAATAGTCCAGCATGTCAACTTTATACAAGTATTATTCTACAGTGCTGCCAAGGTTTGCTCAACGTATTCATTCACACACTATTCGTATTAGAAACGACATCAAGATCTTACCGAAATTACATTACAACACGCATACAGGTCTCACTCCTAAACTTAAATCCTCCATTTTTCTTTTAAATCTGGTCACTTCGCCCCCCAGACTCGAACCCAGAGCCGGGTCCCGATGTATAAACAAGAAGCCGAAGAAAACGAGATGTTGTAACTGTCCTGACTAGCCACGGCCCCTTGGTTTTACCTGCTCGGGAAAGCCCATCGCCAGCGGGCAGTAGTCTCGGTCCGTTCTCCTCATCGGGACGGCCGTGCTGTCGGAGTCGGGGTGCCCGCGGCCCCTGGGTGGACAGGGGGTCCCATCCCAGCATCTGTCGGGCCCTCCGTCACGACTCGGCCTGCCTCGGTACATTTCAGCGTGCAGCGCCCACTCCCAACGAGCGGCGCAAAGCTGCCAACTGCAACGAAGTGTTTTGTTTATTTCTTCTTAAACCCAGTCCCTCGTAAAGCGACCGCCACCCTCCCTGGCCCGCAATCCCTTGGTTTCTGGTTGTGATTTGTTTACATTCCCAGTCGTACACTCTCGCTTCTCGCTCCTCTGCCCTCGGTGGACACGGCGAGCTGTGGGCCGACTGAACCAAACCAAGAGTTTATATCGCGCTGCATACCTGCCGTAGCCTGCTGCCACCTCGTATCATACTCGGCTGTGCACTGTTCCGTGTAAAACTGATCTCAGATGCACAATGTGAATGACAAAATCCGTGTTTATTACTTTTATTGTTGCACAGAACGAGACGTTCATAAAAGATTGTCCGTTTTCTTATAATCCTGCGTTATCAAGCGCAATACAAATCTTGAATTCTTTGCAGTTTCTACCAACCACATCTACTACTTTCTGAGTATTTTGAAAATTACATTCTTTTTGACAAAGAAGAGTTATCTTCCAAATTATGTTATAAAGCCAAAGAAATGGTTTTGGGTTTTATTTTTGGAGTAGTGGTGTGCCAAACAACAACAGATCCAAAAGCAAAGCCTGCTTTCTAAGACTTTGCTGTAGGATAGCTCAACAGGAAGGGCTCTTCCAAACAGCTAAATGGACCACATCACACGAGGCCTAAAATGCCAGTGTAAAGGGTTATCAATCGATTGGACAATATAACAATAAAACAGAGTTTTTAAAACAACAACAGCGTTGCTAGTCAGCCAACCCTTGATGTTGTGAAAACAAAAATAATGTTAAAAGTAACCGTGTTGCCCCCATCGACATCAGTACACTTTTGACGACACGCATATTGCTTTTACGCGTTTATGAAACACTGTCACACAGCGTCAAGTGTTAGAAGTCTATAACCCTAAATTTCCTTTTCTAATCCGTAAGCAAATTTAAAACATTTATATCGATTACATCACTTCCAGCTCGCCCTTATGGCGACAGTCGAATCCATTATCTACAGTAGCAAGACAATTTGTTTTCACATCATATAAAAGTCCAAAGTTCCTAAAGCGGATATTTTCTGATGCTCCTTCTTTGTTCCGGTGTAATTTTGCTTTAAGTATTTTTAAAAATTCATAATTGCTGGTCAAAGTGCGAGGTACAACAGTCTCATAATTCGGTGCAATAAAAAACAAATCGCTTTCCGCATTTCAGTCCTGAATGGAGGAGCAACGAGAACGAGATAGGAGGTAAAGTTTCAAATGTCTTGCACTACTGCGATTGCGAATGTTTGAAAAGTGTATTTTGTCATAGCTGTTAAACCACGTGGGCCTCCAAAACCCGTGTGAATAAACAGAAGAGCATTTAAATGTATAACGATAGCTTGTGTAGCTCTGTGCTTGAAAATCCCAGTGAAAACAGTTACTGCAACGTGTTGCGAATGTCATATATACCTTCGCTCCTACAGTTTTCCTTAAACTTTAGCATTATTGACCGGTCCTGGACTGGAGGGCCGATGTCTGTGTGTGGGAGGGTTTTCCTCCAGCTAACAATGACGTTTAGTAATCGATTCAAATGGGCCACTTTACCAACTTCCTATAGCTCGTTTGGTGCTGATGCTTTTAGAGAGACCTGGAAAATTTAGAAAAGGGCTGGCTCTCCAGGACCAGAATTAGACGGAGCTCAGCCCCAGGTTACTAATTGAACATTTCATTGACCTAGTAATCAGATTCATTGCATGCCTTTGTATTTTAAATCGTGAACACCCATTCATGTTCTAAACCACTTGATCCAGCTCAGGGTCGTGGGGTAGCTGGAGGCTCTTCTGGGAAGCACCAGAGGAAGGCAGGGTACACCCTGGATGGGACACCAGTCCATCACAGGGCAGGCAGAGACACAGACACACACTCACACTGCTGCCAGTTTTCATACAGCAGCCCATTAACCTCCAAGTATGTCTTTTTTACAGTAGGAGAAAACTGGTACAACTAGAGGGAAACATGCAAACTCCACACAGACAGCACCCCAGGTCCAGAATTGAACCCAGGACCCCAGCACTGCAAGGCAGAAATTGCTCACCACTGCGCTACTATACCACTCAACTTGTAAACATGTTGGGGTTCATTTTTTAACTACTGCGCTCAATGAAGTAACTTGGGACTCCCAACTTTTGGCGCAGAAGGAAACCTGCATAAGGTCCAAGAACGTGTCAGTGCAATTAAGGGTTCAATTAAAGAGCATGACGTCACAGTCCCGATCGCTGCGCGCACCTGAGATCTTGAGGGACAGCTTTAACCCGGCTAGCCAGAATAATACAGCTCCGGCCGTCACTTCGGAGCAAAGGAGCAGGCCAAGGTCCCCGTAAGAGCTCTCGACTCCGGACTGGGGTGGAACCGGTTAAAACCACAGTCGAGACCCTACTGTATCTAGTCCGAGCGAGTTACTTCGCGCAAAGCAGGTGGAGCTCCAGCTGTGTACATTGGTCTCCGGGTCGTTGCTGTAATTGTAAAGGCATGCACGCTACGTACACTAAACTAGATCCATCTCTTTTCGTTTGTTAAGTTAGCGATTTCAAGTTATTTTAGAGTTCAACGAACTGAAGGGCAGCTGTAACAAAGCTTTTAAAGGGATTATGTCCCCGGTCGTCGCGGCTCTCCGATCATGGCCGGAGCACGATACACCTCCAGTCCCCCAGGCGGCGCTAAAGAGACGCACCTCAACGCCGCCATGTATCCGTGTTGTTCGCTCCGAAACCTCTCCGCAATGCAAAAGTTACTATCTTGCACGGGTTCCGATCACCTGTGATTAGTTTGCTTTTATGAGGCTTTGAATTAGACTCCAGATATCAGGCAGTCATTGGCGCTTGGCGATGAAAGTAAACGCAGAGAGATGGTGAAAGTTGGTGAGCGCAGTGATGACAGCGTATTGTAGCGCAATATATCAAGGTAATAATGTCACCGACAAGTCAAAAACTTATTGCTTATTGGAATTTATGGGTTTATGTTAAAGGTCGCTTCTGTCCGGGTTAGTAGGCATTTACAGATGCTGAATGTGCATGTTGATCATATACGCAGCTCCTTTGTCGGAAGAAGCTGTTCAAATATATATTTTTAAAATCTATGATGTATCATTCGTCTGTGTGCAACGTGTGCGCTGTTGAAGTGAAACGGAAAGGATAGCAGCAGTAAACCCATCATTTTCTGTTTTCTATTGTGGGCAAAGCGCGTTATTTTTCAATTCACCTTTTACAGAGTGATGATGTTCATTTGAAAGTCACTTGAACTCAATATGAAATAACTTAATAAGGGCTCAATATGAAATAACTTAATAAGGGCTTATTAATAACTTAATAAGGGTCCGCCTAGTCCTCGAAGGTTTCAGTGTGCTGGGAAAAGACGAACAAAATCCCAGACGTTACATTGTACACGTTCGGGATAGTTTAGTGGCAGGATTGTGCCAGGATTCCTGTGGTTTATTCAAGCCCGGAACCAGAGGTAAACAAGTCCTGCGACGCGTCTATATTTCGCTCAGTATATAGACTATAATTGTATTAGATTATTCATCTTTATTCTCGGTATTTTCGGTCTCACGTCACTGGTCTCACCCTGTGTATTTAATACAGTAAATGCTGCTGGTGATATCCCACTTTGTCACCAGTTCAACAAACAGCAATGTTCTTTCTCAGAAGGACCTGTTCAGCCTGAGGGGCCAGACGCCCAGATTCTCTCAGGCAGGTACAGTATGTACGCTGCCGTCGTCGTTAATGGGGAAGTACCGGCCTGACTGCCCGCTTGTCTCCTCTCTGTAGATGACGGTCTGAGTGTGGGAGATGGCTCACTTCCTGGCAGAGCTCTGCCACACGGACAGTCTTGACCCCCTGCCGGTGTGGCAGAATGGCACCATCAGCCCCTGCTTCAGCCAGCTGTTTCTCGGTGCCCTGGCACACTCTGTCCTTGCTCTCTCCAGCGCCTGTTACCTGAGCACCCCCAGGTAGGCCAGCCTGCATGTGTTCAGGCCCTTACACAGGCACGTTGTGCGCGCGCTGTGGCTTAATTGATCTCGGGGTCTTCTCTGAACATGGCAAACGTAAAGATCAGGCGAGGGGATATTTCAGTGTGTTTGATGTCGTTGTGTGTGCGAACGTGATTTATGAGCCCGCCTTCAGGCGCTGTCTGAGGGCCGGGTGCGAAGGCAGGAGCGGACGCGGTGACCGGCCGGTTTCTGTTCTCCTCCCCCGCAGCTGTGCGCCAGCCGGGGGCCCCCCGGCCTGGGGGTGGCTTTGCCGGGCCGCGGCGGCGGCGCTGCTGGCCCTGCTGTTCACCGCAGACCTCGCGGTGTCCCCCCTCCTGCGGCAGCCCGCCCTCTACCTGGACGTGCTGGCCGATGGCGCTGCCGTCCTGGCATGGCTCGTCCACTGCGGGGCGCTGGCGGCCCTGCGCAGATCCGCCTACGGAAGGGGCAGGGGCCCGCCGGAGCTGCTCGTCTCCGCCCTGCTGCCGGGCGCCGCCCTGGTGGTCAGTCTGGTGTCTTACCTGCGGGACCCCGGCTACCTGGACCCGGGGCGGCCCCTCCGGCTCCTGCGCCTGGCCGCGGCGTCTGCCCGGCTCCTCCTGCTGTGTCTCTACCTGCTGGCTTGGGCCGCCCCCGGCCCCGGGGCCCGGGCGTCCCTGTCCGTCAACGACTCGGAGCGCGCCCCCCTGCTGGCCGCTCCCGGGCCCGGGGAGATCGTGGGCGAGGACGGCAGCGGCTGCATCTCCAGGCTCTTTTACTTCTGGCTGAACCCCCTGATGCAGCGCGGCCGGCGCAGGGAGCTGGAGAGCTACTCCGACCTCTACCTCCTGCCCCGCGGGCTGCGCACCTCAGCCGTGCGGGAGCACTTCGAGCGTTGCTGGGAGGAGTGCAGGCCGGCGGCTCAGGCAGCAGGGCCGCGGGAGCTGGGGAGGAGCGCTCAGAAGGGCGCGGCGGGCTGGCCAGAGCCGCCGGAGGCTCCCGGCGGGGAGGGAGGTCCGCTTTCTCCTCCGACACCCGAGGTCAGGCTCCTGCGGGTGCTGCACGCGGCCTTCGGGACCAGGTACTACCTGCTGGGGGCGCTGAAGCTGGCGGGGAACATGCTTGGGTTTGCCGGGCCGCTGCTGTTGAACAGCCTGGTGAGCTTCATGGAGGCGGGCGCGGCGCCCCTGAGCCGAGGGGTGTGGTGCGCCCTGGGGCTCTTCGCCAGCACCTTCCTCGCCGCAGTCCTCCGCAACGTCTTCACCTTCGAGGTGTCCAAGATCTCCCTGGCGGCCCGCTCTGCCATCATCTCCGCCATCTACCGCAAGGCCCTGTGCGTCAGCGGCACCACCCTGGCCCGCTTCACCCTGGGCGAGGTGGTCAACTTCATGAGCACCGACACCGACCGCCTGGTCAACTTCTTCGGCAGCTTCCACGAGGTGTGGAGCCTGCCCGTCCAGTTCGCCATCACGCTCTACCTGCTGGACCAGCAGGTGGGCGTGGCCTTCCTGGGGGGGCTGGCCCTGGCGCTGCTGCTGGTGCCCCTCAACAAGGTGATCGCCAGCCGCATCATGGAGAACAACAAGAGCATGCTGAAGCACAAGGACAGCCGCGTCAAGGTAACCACTGACGGGCTCCGGCTTTGCTCCTGCGGGGACACGCGGCTTTCCACCTTTCATGCAAGCTCAGTGCTCAGTGAGCCAGTTACTGGCTTGGTTAATCACGTTTAATGTGATGTTTAGCTGTTTAAATAAAACCTATTAGCTATGTATCTAAAACTTGGAAGGCTGAGGCTTTCTGGGACCAAGGAGGAGACAACTGGTGTGTACTGTCTACAGTATGTCTCACCCTACAGAGATTAAACTAGTGAAATCATAAAATTATCCTGAGATTTACCGGTAACCTTAAAATAACCTGTGCTCTGCTGACAATGCATGAAATGAAGCCAGGATCATCAGTGCTAAGTGTGGAATGATCATGCACTTTAAAAGGTTTTCTTAACTTCATTTGCCACGATGTCCGTGTCTAAACCTTTAGCTGATGACTGAGGTCCTGTCTGGGATGCGGGTGATAAAGTTCTACACTTGGGAGAAGCACTTTGCGGAGAAGATCGCTGGCTGCAGAAAGCAGGAGCTGGCACACCTCAAGACCATCAAATACCTGGATGCTGTGTGCGTCTACACCTGGGCAGCGCTGCCTGTTGTCATCTCCATTATCACCTTCATCACATATGTGCTGCTGGGCCATGAGCTCACTGCTGCCAAGGTCAGACTGGGTGTGTGTGCACACGCCCTTCTTGACTGCTTGTAGTTGAATAGCTCCAGTTTGCACTTAAAACAGCGGTTCCCAATCCTGGTCTTCCAAGACCTGCAATTCAAACTAGAATTCAAACTAATCCAGGAATACAATACACACTTAAAAGACTACTAAATTCTCTCTAGATCCATCTCTCTTTTCTCAATCCCATGCCAAACAAATCCCTTGCAAGTCTTTTTTATCTCTTCCTGACTTCTCAAACCTGAATGGGACATAGGACTGGCTGGCTACTGATGTTAAAGCACAGGGGTTAAACACTCCTGTGCAATCGAAACTCTCTGCAGTTCGGGATACCACTAACCCACTGCCTCCCTGACCTGCAGGGTCTTTCACACGGCACCCTGCCCTCTGCCCCTGCCTGCTGTTATATTGGCTGCTGCTCCTACTGAGAAATCTCCCAAGGAAACGCAGGGCCAATCCGGTGATCCCCTTGCCTGTGGAATGCCGTTCTCCAGGAGTCCGATCAGTTGGTCAAGAGCTGGGAACACGCAGTTCAAATTCAAATTCTTCTTATAAAATCAGTGAAGGGTCTGACTGTGTACCTGAGAGCTCAGGTGTGTTGGTCCCCAGGACCAGGATTGGAAACCATTAACTTAAAAGGAGGTTTGTTTTAAAAACTTTTGCAACACGATTCCCCACAGATTCATTAGAGGCTATATTTCCTTTGTAAATAGCACTTAATGTAACTATCATTAACTGCGGCAGGTAACGTAAGTCTAAAGGGTTGTAAATATGTTCAGGCTAAAAACATGTATTACCAGGGAATGAATGCGAGTGAGGGTTGACTTTTAAATTACCTTTAAACTTTTCGTATTGTTAACTGCTGCTCTCTTGCAGGTGTTTACTGCTCTGGCGTTAGTGGGGATGCTCATCATGCCCCTCAACAACTTCCCCTGGGTCCTGAACGGGACCATAGAGGCCAAGGTGTCTCTGGACCGAATCCAGCGTTTCCTGGAGCTGTCAGACCAGGATCTGGACGCCTACTACAGCTCAGGTGTGCGTCTGCTTGGCAGCGGGGGTCAGAGTGGGGGTGCAGACGCCAGGCTCGGGCCCCGCCGCTGCGCGCCCGGACTGCGCCGGCCAGGGGTCCCGCTGCGCGGTCGAGGTGGGTCCGAGCGTTAGCTGCTCGGGGGTCAAAGCGACGGCCGATTCCTGAAGAAGAACTGTGTTTTCCCAGAGGTCCCGGAGGACCCCCAGACCGCCATCCAGCTGAAGCACGGAGCCTTCTCCTGGCAGGGCCCGGCCAGCAGGGACCCCCCAGCAGGGGGCAGCCTGCAGCTGCACAGCCTGGACCTCACCGTCAGACAGGTCTGCCTCTCCCGCCGGCCGCCGCTCGCGAAGACAGCAGCTTGACTCATCGTTACGCCATTGTCTTTCTTTTGATCATAACAGTAGCCATAACGATTTCCAACGGCTTGGCACTTTGACCGATTAACTTTTCTAAGCAGGAAAGTTTCTTCTAGATGTTTTTGAAAACGGCATGCAAACAACGTTCGTTTCCTCCGCCATGGGGCGGAGCTGTGGCTCTGTGGCTCAGGATCTGCGCCTGTGGCTGGAGGGTTTGCCGGTTCAAATCCCACAGCTGGCAGAGGAATCCTACTAAGTTGTGCCCCTGAGCAAGGCCCTTAACCCCGACTGCTTCAGGGGGTGCTCTTCAATGGCTGACCCTGCACTCTGACCCCCAGCTTCTCTCCCTGTCTGTGTGTCTGTGTCTCATGGAGAGCAAGCTAGCGTGTGCGAAAAGACGAATTCCTAATGCAAGAAATTGTATATGGCCGATAAAAGTGATGTTATGTTATGTCTCGACGAAGAGGCTCGGGGGGTCTCCCCCATGTGATGCAGTGATCATTCTGTCCAACAGGGGGCGCTGGTTGCCGTGGTGGGGAAAGTGGGCTGTGGGAAGAGTTCTCTGCTGGCAGCCATCACTGGAGAACTAAACAGGTAACCAAAGGAATCAAAGAAAAGCAGGGCGGTGTCAGGCCAACCAGGTTGCGACTGTAAGTGGTGTCAGTGTACAAGTAGGTGGGACTTTCCCCACTGCGCCAGAGTTTACTGTCCAGTAGTTCCTGCAAGCCTACAGTAGTTTTGCGTGAGGTTCCGTCCTTTGGATGAGTCGTTAAACCAAGGTCCGTGGGCACTAACAATCCGCTAGCACTGTCTGTAAGAGTAGAGTACAACTCCCTTAAGGTTCACCTTTCATGAAGTCAGTGAAGCAACATTTTGCTTATCTACCTCATCTGATGTGTTGGGGAGTTTCTGGAGAATACTGGCTTCTGTCAATCACCCAGGAGTGTCTCATAATGTCAAGGAATAGTAATTGTTGCTATTTATATCTTGTTCATAGCTGACTGTTACATGACTATTTAATATATCAATATATTACAGCTCACAAGAACAGGAGTAAGAGTGGTCCAGCTCCTGCAGCACAATGATTTGATACTGGCCTGGTGATTTTATTTGCTGCATCACTCACTTGGAAATATAGAGCTAATCATGCTCACAGAAATATAAGTACAGGGACTATGTGTAGTTGTGTAGAATCATTTTAGTACAAAATTACGAGGTGGAGAAGTTTGGAGTCAAACATTAAAGCTGCCAGAGTATTGGATTTGTAGTTCAACTGCAATAGGATGTGCAGAAGATATCATCTTCCTGCTTGTTTTTGCGGTGCCGTGTTGCTGCCGCGGCAGCTGCTTCCTCCAGCCCTAACGCTCTGTGCCTGCGCAGGTGTGGGGGGCTGCTGTACGTGCAGGGCAGAGAGCTCGGCTTTGGCCTGGCCGCGCAGGAGCCCTGGATCCAGCACGCCAGCGTCCGGGACAACATCCTCTTCGGCAAGGAGCACAGCGCCAGGCTGTACCGGGCCGTGCTGGAGGCCTGCGCGCTGCCCGATGACCTCAGCGTGAGTCGAGCTCTCCGCAGCGGGCGGGCGCACAGCGCAGGTGCTCTCGCTGAAGTGGGAGGGGCTTTGGCTCGTACGCCCTCCCCGTGTTTGTGTGGGTTTCCCCCAGGTGCTCCAGTTTCCCCCTAACAGTCCAAAAACATACTGGTAGGTGAATTGGCTCCTGGGAAAATTGGCCCTGGTGTGAGTATTTGTGTCTGTGTATCGGGCCTGTGATGGACTGGCGTCCCTTCCAGGGTGTGTTCTGCCTTGTGCGCATTGCTGGCTGGGAGAGGCTCCTGCTCCCCCACAACCCTGAACTGGATAAAGTAGTTAGCAAATGGGTGGATTATGTAGTGATTATTCCAGTCCCAGGACGTAAAAAAGTAAGAGGCTACAAATGAGAGGGAGCCATTCAGTCCATCTAGCCCATTTGATAGTGATTAGTTTGATCCAAGGATCTCATCCAGGTATTTCATGAAAATGTCAAGGTTATTGGCTAAAAGAGCATGGCAGGAAGGCCTATCATTTCTGGTTTTAAATTAATAAATCCTAAAACTGCCAGGGACAAATTGCATCCAACCTGAAGATGGCTTTTTAATGCCTTTAAATACTTTGTCTGTGTCTTCCTCAAATTAGAAACGACAGACTCTGATCAAGGCAGTGCAGTAGCCCTGTCCTCATTATCAGCAGGGAACTCCTCAGTTGAGTAATGTCAGTAACAGTAGCAGGCGGAGTGCCGGTCTGCTCGGCACCCTGCCTTTACTCTGTGTGATTCAGTCCCGTCCGAGCTGGCTCTGGTAGAGCTCTGAAGGCCAAAGCTTCAGGCGTTGGGTTTGACACGGCCTGCTCTGATTTTGCTGATGTTCGTTTGCAGATTTTGCCATCAGGGGACCTGACTGAGGTCGGAGAAAATGGGGTGACTCTCAGCGGGGGACAGAAAGCCCGTCTTGCCTTAGCCAGAGCCGTTTACATGGTAAGGCAGTCTTGAACATTCCCGGACTGTTGTAGTCGTATTCGTGACCATTGAATGAGACCGTAATATTATCTTTAGTAAAACCTTCTTTTTTCGGTTATTAAAAGTGGAAAAACTTGCTTTTTCCACGCCCTCCCGTTCCCAGGAAAAAGACATTTATCTTCTTGACGACCCCTTGGCTGCTGTTGATGCTGATGTGGCCAGTCACCTTCTGGAGAAATGCATTCTGGGAATCCTCAAGCACAAGACCAGAATCCTTTGCACGCACCGCACTGAGTTTCTCGACAAGGCCGATGTCGTCGTCTTGATGGATGAGGGGAAGATTGTGAAAACTGGTACAGCACGAACTAAAGCTCTGGAACCCTGGCTTAGAAAATTAAACCAAAACCATTTACTCTTTCTAGATAAAAGAAGATGAGATATGATCTCAGTTGGTTAAATATTTTACATTGATTGATTCTGATTAACTTTCATGTATAAGGATGTAAGGTGTTAAATAGAAGTATTAATTTCACAAAGCACTATTTGTCTTCGTGAATTAACCCACCCTTGGCAGTCTGTCTTTAAATGTCAGACTTGAAATGACTCTTTTAATTCTTTGTGGATTTGGTTAGGATTGTGTTTTTTATTTCATTCCAGGAACCCCTGAGGAAATTCTTCCTCTGGTGGAAGCAGTTCCCAAAACCAGGAAGAATGATGATAATAGGAAGGAAAAAGGTATTATCATACCTGCAGAAATAAAACCATGAAGTAATGGAAACAGGAGATATTGCACTGCTATGGGCTATTGATTGTTGTGCCAGTTTAATCTCAGTGGCATGCACAGCAACCCCACAGGACACTTCTAGCTTATGACAAGTCTAAGTGGTCCTGGAAGTCCGTACCGGAAGAAGTTGTTAAATTAGATTGATCATGTCATTATCATTAGGTCATGAAAAGCTGAGTTAGAATGAAAATCCCCCAGGACTGGGATTGCGCACCCAGTAGTAACATACTCCTGTAACAGTACTACTATTAAAACACTAAAGCAATAAATGGTAATAATTATGATTCCTTGCATCCATGAAGGGATTGTATATCCCAATCCACTTTTGCATATAGCGGCCATACAGCACAGCCGATGAGCTAGATAAGTAAGATGCTACATTTTCATTTAGTCAGGCGCAAACTTTAAAGCACAGGGCCAGTGTCCAGCAGGTGTCCTGGGTCTCTTTAGAAAGAGGACCTCTGGGAAGAGGTGAGCTGGTCTTGTTAAACTAATGATCAGCTCAGTTAGTCTACGAGCAGAGCTGGTGGGATGAGGACCCGCAGTCACCATGGCCTTCCTGCCCTGGAGGTGTGTCCCTCTGCTTTAGACAGGTTACTGTGGGGTAACGTGCCTCCGACCGGGCATCAGTGTTTGTGGTCACAGTCGGGGCTGCTGCCTGCATGTTCTCTACAGGCTCTCCAGAATTCATGCTCTAAGAAAAGACCGTCCTTCCTTTCTAATGCACGGGGCAGAAACAGCCCTTCGCGATCGTCAGGGCTGTCCCGGGAGTGCACCGCACGCGGACAGCGGCTCATGGGGCTGCTGGAGAGCCGGAGAGAGAGCTGACCTGGGGGGCCGGTCAGGGTCTCGGAGAAGTGCGTGTAGATGCGGGAGAGCTGTAGTGCCGGTAGTAGCGCTGGATGAGGTAGTGGAGCCCAGCCAGGGGCAGCAGCACCAGCAGGATCCAGGGCAGGCCGTAGCTCAGGACCACCAGCAGCCCGAACGCGTCGAGGATGACGGGCGTCCGCGCTTTCCTGTCGTTCCAGACGGTGCCGGGGACGAGCAGCGCGGCCTGCAGCCCGCGGACCAGGCGCCCGTGGAGGCCAGCCTGCTCGGCGAGGAGCAGAAGCAGTCGGGCGTGGTGTCGCTGCGCGTCTACCGGGCCTACTGGCTGGCCGTGGGCAGCTGCCTGGCGCTGTCCATCCTCCTCTCGCTGCTGCTGATGCAAGGTGAGGACCAGCTGCCCCGCCCCGAGGGGGCTGTCGTTCGTACGTTCGGCTGCTGTTTGACACGGCTGTGTTGGCCCTCAGCGTCGAAGAACGTCTCCGAGTGGTGGCTGTCCAACTGGGTGTCTCACCTGAAGAAGACGGACAACGTGTCCCTCGCAGAGGGTGACCCCTCTCTGCTTCACCTCTCACCCCGCTTGCTGCTCTTCTCTCTGGGAGGACTTCTGTGAGTTGCACGTGAATTTTATAATGCTGTTTAAGAGCCTGCCTGTCTTATTCGTATGTCCTTTCGTGCACTGAATTGTTCAATTTCGTAGCTAAATGAGGTGGAAACCGTTAGCTCTCTGTTTTCTGTTTACTTGTATTTTAAGTCATTTTCTGAGCAAATATTCTCTAGAGCAGGAGTAGGCGGATGCAAAAGATCCCTTTGAAACTGAAATATGCGCTGGACCAAGACACCAAGATGCTGGTCTATATTCTCTGTACTAAATAGCAGACAGAATGGTGGTGTCAAGCAGTATCCCAGCCCCAGAGGACTTTAGATATCTTTACACACAGATATTGTTTGTCTTCAGCCTGTAAATAGAACCTGTTTAAATGAGACTATGATTCCCAAACCACACACTGTACCATTAACCGGAGTCACTCATTCATCCCACAGTGCCGAATGAATGACTACAGCGCTCTCTCCTTGTCTCCAAGGTCACCTGTCCCTCTGATGGGCTCCGCTCCCAGTCCCAACAGCTCCTCGGACCTGAAGTATTACCTGACTGTGTACGGCTCCATCGCTGCTGGCAACTCGGTGTTCACCGCCATCAGGGCCTTCCTGTTTGCCTACGGGGCCGTCCGCGCAGCCACGGCCGTGCACGACAGGCTGCTGGACCGCGTGCTGAAGGTACAGGGCTGAGCCGCGGCTCGCGGACGGGCGTGCTGCCGAGACCCGCGCAACACGGGGCGGAAAAGTCCTGAGAGTAGAAGTGCAGCCCCGTAACGCCCGCTGTCCCCAGTCTGCCCCCAGCCGAGGGCAGACGTGGAGCTTGAAGGAGCCCCTGAATCTGGACTAAGGCTGTTGATGGCAGGCGACAAGGGAAGACGTAGAGGCGAACAGCTGCTCTCGCCCTCTTCAACCGCAGCAGTTAAAAAAAAAAAAGACTGGTCTCTCTAATTAAGCCTCCTCGTTTCTTACTGACTCGATGGCCGCTGCAAACACCGGGTCTGTTTTTGTGGGGAGCTGGGCTGAAGGTACAGATGCGTATTGATACCGCAGGGGAGCTGTCAGGTATTCGTGTGAGCTCATCCCTTGTCTGTCCCTTCCTGCGTCCCTCAGGCCACAGTGACCTTCTTTGACACCACTCCGCTGGGCCGCATTGTGAACCGCTTCTCCTCTGACCTGTACAGCGTGGACGACACGCTGCCTTTCATCCTCAACATCTTGCTGGCCAACGCGTTCGGGCTGCTGGGCATGCTGGTGGTCATGAGCTACGGCCTGCCCTGGATCCTGCTGGTGCTGCTGCCCCTGGCTGGGCTCTACTACCTCATCCAGCGCTACTACCGCCACTCCTCCCGCGAGCTCAAGCGCCTCTACAGCCTCACGCTCTCCCCCATCTACACGCACTTCTCCGAGACCCTGACCGGCCTCAGCACCATCCGCGCCAGCCGAGCGGCCCCCAGGTCAGCTCTCTCTCCGGCTCTCTGACAGGGCCCCGACGGCGGCACAGGGCTCTGACAGGGACACAGGGCCCCGACAGAGGCACAGGGCTCTGACAGCGGCACAGGGGTCCGACAGTGACTCTGGGCTCCGACAGCAGCACAGGACTCTAACAGGGACACGGGGCTCTGACAGAGGCACAGAGATCTGTCAGTGACTCTGGGCTCTGTCAGTGGCACAGGGCTCTGACAGATTCTAGTCTGACAGCGGCACAGGGCTCTGACAGCGGCACAGGGCTCTGACAGCGGCACGGGGCTCTGACAGCGGCACGGGGCTCTGACAGATACTAGTCTGACAGCAGCACAGGGCTCTGACAGCGGCACGGGGCTCTGACAGCGGCACGGGGCTCTGACAGCGGCACGGGGCTCTGACAGATACTAGTCTGACAGCAGCACAGGGCTCTGACAGTGACACTATTCACACACCTGGCAGAATCAGTCCTACTAGGAGAGGGAGATGGGAACTCAGTTGAGTACATGATCTCCTGTCATAGCCTGAGGAACAGTGAGCCTGTCTCTCAATAATGTTCTATGTGTTGTATGTGAATGTGTTATGATATGTTTGTATTGTACAGATCTGTAGATGTTGTGTTGATAGTATACTGTAATTCATTGGTCTTGCCAGTAAAGCTGTTTGAATTGAATTGACACAGGGCTCTGCCAGTAATAATGGGATCTAGCACTGTCACATGGTTCTCATATTGACACTAGTTGCTGAGGAAAAGCACGGACCTGTGTGTTTGAGTTGATGTGCTGGTGTCCGGAGTGGAATGGGATAATGCTGTGGAACCTGCTGTCCCGCAGGTTCGAGAAGGAGAATGAAAGCCGCCTGGAGAGGAACCAGCGCTGTCTGTTTGCCAGCAACGCGGCCATGCAGTGGCTGGACATCCGGCTGCAGATGATTGGAGTTGCCGTGGTGACCGGCATTGCAGTCATTGCAGTGATCCAGCACCAGAAAAAATCCGTTGATCCAGGTAAGCGAGACGCTTGTCGGCAATCCTTATTCTCTCCTTGTCTGTCAGCTTGTCCGTCACTGCTGATGGGACACCAAAGGGCAGTAGTGCCATCTGCTGGTCATTGTTGACACTTTTTTTTACCCTTGCGGGAAGGGATGTGCGACTCGCCACATTGTGCTGAGGGTCCCGGTTGTCACAGTTTTAATTATTATTCAGTGCCGCCATCTGTTCATGTGAAGTTCTCACGTGGCACATATCCTTTTGTAAAGGAAACTTTCCAGCAGCAGCCATGTCTTTTTATATCTATGTTCTAATGATATATTATAATTTCACATATGAAGAAGAAAGTGCCCGGTTGTTTTGGGAGAGTGCAGTACAATTGAAAGCTGCTGTACTAGAAGATTTCTGTTGAGGATCACCGTGATGCCTTGGGCCGCAGCAGCACTGATTTTGATATGAGTTCTCTGTGGCTTCGCTCTTCCTGTGCTTCTCCGCAGGCCTGGTGGGGCTGTCCCTGTCCTACGCCCTCTCCATCACCAGCCTGCTGTCCGGACTGATCTTCAGCTTCACGCAGACGGAGACTCAGATGGTGAGCGTGGAGCGGACCGAGGAGTACTCCACCGACACTCCCATAGAGCCGCAGGGGGGCTGTGTTGAGGTAAGAGTGCTCGGGTGGGCTCGGAGTCCCGTTCCTGAGAGCAAACACGTTTCAGGGCCCGAGGAGGGGGATGAACTCAGGAGAGCTGACTAAGGGCAGTGCGGTGGCTCTGTGGCAGGGATCTGCGCCTGGGGCTGGAAGGTTCGTATCCCGTGGCCGGCAGAGGAATCCTACTCCATTGGGCCCCTGAGCAAGGCCCTTAACCCCAGCTGCTCCAGTGGTGCCGTATAAATGGCTGACGCTGCGCTCTGACCCCCAGCTTCTCTCCCTGTCTGTGTGTCTCATGGACACAAATTCCTAATGCAAGAAATTGTATAGGTAATAAAGTGATCTTATCTTATCTTTACCAATTGCTCACCGGTACCTTCTGTTATAAAGTCCATAAAATGGCGTTGATGTTTCCAGACTCGCCTGGTCAGGAGAGACCGCTAGCATTGAGCACACAGCTGGCTCGCTGCCTCAATTGGTCATGAGCCGTGTCCTGTATACAGGGGGCCGTCAGGGTTAGGAGCGAAGTCTGGCCAGTGGTGACCTGTTACCTGCTGTGTTGCCCCAGGTTCCCCCCAGCTGGCCCCACAGGGGGCAGATCGAGTTCCAGGAGGCGGTGCTGGCGTACCGGGCGGGGCTGCCCAACGCCCTGGACGGGGTGAGCGTGGTGATCCGGCCCGGAGAGAAGGTGGGGATCGTGGGGCGGACCGGCTCGGGGAAGTCCACCATGTTCCTGGCGCTGTTCCGCATGGTGGAGCTGAGCGGCGGGCAGATCCTCGTCGACGGCGTGGACACCCGGCTGCTGGGCCTGACCGATCTCCGGTGAGCCCCCCCCCGGCCGCTCGGCAGGCCCTGCGCGTGTCCTTGTGCGGCTCGGCGAGCCGAGTATCCTCTCCCTGTTGTTTTCTGGTCTGTTGTTGTGTGTCCCTGATGCGCCTGACGATGGAGCGAAGGCTTCTGAGAAAGTCCGGTTTGCAGCCAGGCTGCCGTTGTACTCCAGCCACAGACAGAGTCTGGTGTGTCGCCTGCGCCTCTGTCCCGAGCCGAGCAGGAGTCATTGCGGTCTCTGTGCAGGTCCCAGCTGGCCGTCATCCCCCAGGACCCCTTCCTGTTCAGCGGGACGGTGCGGGAGAACCTGGACCCCCGCGGCCGCCAGCCCGACGCCGCCCTGCTGGAGGTGCTGGAGGAGTGCCACTTGACGGAGGCCGTCGCCAGGATGGGTGAGGAGCCAGGCTGAGTCTGAGGACAGGAAGGAGAAACGGAAACTATAAATAGGACACACTGAGGCAGCTGTGGCTGTATGAGAAAAATGTTAGCATGTGGTGTTGAAAGTGTCGAATTTAAATCAAGGACTGTTACTGTATATTCAAATTGTATAACACCCTAAGGCATCATCTAGACAATATCAAAATATTGTGTACAATTTTAGTCAGTATATAAAATATATTTCTGTTACGTAATCAGGCAGACTTTATAGACCAACCAGATACACAAAACATGCTGGTGCTTAAGGGAATGTGCTACACTACTGGGGAGTGCACTTCAAATGAAGAACAGGAGGAACTTCTCTACCCAAAGAGTTGTGGGAGTGTGGAACAAGTTCCCCAGACCCAGCAAGGATCTTGCAAGAAAAAGCTGGCTGAGATTATTGGATCGATTAGCGGATCACTATCAGAAACAGACTAGATGAGCCGAATGGCCTGTCTTTTGTAACTCGTCTGACGGTCTTTACTATGTTACTGAGAGATCAGGAAGGACCTTGGCCCTCCAGGAATTGAATATGAGATCCCAGGTTCGTCGTGCCGGAGCTGGGCCGGTCGGGGATTCTCCAGTTCGTGCAACAGGCTGCAGGCAGCGCGGGGGCAGCCGGGGTCCTGCTGCGTGCTGAGCACCGTGTGGTACTGACACTCTTCTCCTGGCCGGCAGGGGGTCTGGCTGCGGAGGTGGGAGAGAAAGGGAAGAGCCTGTCTCTGGGGCAGCGCCAGCTGCTGTGCCTGGCACGGGCTCTGCTGACGCAAGCCAAGGTACCGGTGCAGCCCCACCTTGACTCGGGGCGAAGCGGGGGCAGGTCTGTCTGAGGGCACCAGCCAGATAGACCAGGCGGCGCGCACACACCAACTGCGCTGTAGTGCATACCTGAAATATTCAAGACGTGCATGTTTTCGCCCTTAGGTTTTCTGTAACTCTATCCTCTTAACTGTCTGGGAATATTCTGAGGAGAAGTCATGATATGAAAGCACAGACAGCTTTTTTAGTAACACCATTAGAAGTCCTTTTGTTGTTAGGAATAAACAGCGTAGGTTCTGAAATGTGTTCCCAGGCGTTTACTCAGTATCATCAAACAATACACATCCACTTTGACTTTTCATTGGAAAACTCTGTCCTTTCTTATCTCTGCTCATTAATGCTGTTGGGCCTTCCTTGTTTTTAATGGTTCCTTTTCTCTGTCTGAAGATACTGTGTATTGACGAAGCTACAGCCAGCGTTGATCAGAAAACTGACCGACTCCTGCAGCAGACAATCCGGGAGAAATTCAGAGAGAAAACAGTCCTCACGATTGCTCACAGGTGCTTTATGCCTGCGTGCTGAACCGGGATGCTATACTGTTATTGATGCATGACGGTGTCTACAGATCATTGATGATGATAATGAGAATGATAGTGGCCAGATAAATTACAGCTAATTGTTTCTTTTAGTAAGGAAAATGGTTTAAAAATGTTTTAAATGTAACTTTGTTCCAACCACACACTTATTCTCAAATACATGTATTTTTTTATCATCATGAAGAGTGAATGACATGTTCTTTTGTCAGGGTGGTTGTTCTTTATCTCTTCCTGTGTATCCCACCTAACAGGTGGCTGCAGTCCTGCTTGGGCATGTCTGTCGTGTCATTACAGTTTTTTCTGTCATGTCTTTCCCCACAGAATCAACACAATCATGGATTCTGACAAGGTTCTCGTGATGCATGCTGGGAAGGTGGCGGAGTTTGAGTCTCCCAGCATCCTGTGCCAGCGGGAGGACTCTATTTTCTACAGGCTGGTGCACGGCCACACCGACTGACAGCACCCAGCACAGGGCTGGGCTCAGGGGAGACTGCCCACTGACCACGACGAGCAAGCTGCTGTTGAAAAACTTGTCTCCTGTCTGAGAGCTGGAATACTGCAGGCAGGAGCCCTTCCTGTCTGGGTCAACCCACTCGTTTTAGCTGAGGAGCTGGAACTTTTCAATACTGTCTCGTATGTGACTTGTATGTTATGGGGTTTTTAATTAAACATGTCTTGAGTCTGAATTTTGAAAATTCAGCGAAGTGTATAGTAATTATACGGTGTTGCATTGCAACACTAAGGTGTTACTGCACATTCAAAAGAACTTTCAATTGTTTTATGTCTGTTAAATATCATACATAAGCAATAATGGTTGTGGGCCGAGGACTTTGATATTTGAATTTGTTTTCTTCTCTGCTGAAGTAGAGAAAGAAATAAATTAGCTTTAAGAAGCGTTCCTCAGTCATTTTGTAGCCTTCTTTTTCTGATAGAATTCATGATCTGTGTGATGATCCTGACTCATACTGTTATGTACTGTATCATCTTTTGGCTTCAGACCAAGGCAAGGAAAAGTATTTAACACCCATCCCAGTGTTATTGCTCAGTATTTCTTTAATTACCACTACTTTGTAGAAAATACACATTTAAAATTTCTCATTCGATGCATATAGACACATTTATAAGCTCTCAAACTCAGATTTTCCTCTTTTTGATCCTATTTATTATTTACTTGCAAATACTGTCCATTCTAAAGTATTGCTCCAGTTAGCACATTTTAATAACACTTCTGCTCGTAATCCTCCTTGCTTTGTGTTACATTGGACGTATATTACAAATGACCTTTTGGGATGATTGCCTTTGATGCATTTCATCACTGACCTGCCTTACAGGAAGAATGAAATATGATAGGCTAGGATCATCCTTGGAGTTTGAAGTAGATTGAGTGTTACTGAGAGAAAAAGTACGTCCGCCTTTAAGGCTCGGGGTGAGATCTGACAGGGGTTTGTTCCCGAGTCCCTCCACTGGACACAGGGGACGTTAATGGTGGCCATTACTGCTCCACACAGACAAGGGAACTCTACAGTCAAGTCCATCTCTGCATGTCTGCCCTTGAGTCTTACAGCCTTAGCCCATAGAGCGAGAAGGGTGATAGTCACTGGTGAAGGAGTTTGGACTGAATGAGACAAAGACTGCAGTCAACAATCAGTTTGACTGTGCTTTATATGTAAGTAAAAGCCTTTTTATTTTTCTGAAACAAACAAGGTGACACTCAAAAGAGTTTAACTCCACTTGGGAAAAAGAAAAATCTATATTGATATTAGTTTTGACCTTTCTGTGTTGCTGCTTGCTGAATTTTCACCTTTGAAATGTTTACCGTTATGGAAACAAGGAGAAAACTTTGCTCTCAAGCTCTTTCAGAGTTTTAAACTAACAAACATCTGACGTTTTATACTGCCAATGTTTAAGTCTTCTTGAATTTCTAGGAGCTCTGTCCACCTGGCTCTGTCTGCCCGGTGGTAATGAGCAGGCATTCAGAGTTCACTGAGTGACCCTCGGCACTGCTGCCTCACAGGTCACTGCCTTGGGCTCAGTCCCAGACTGGAGAGCCTTCTGGGTGGAGTTTGCATGTTGTTTGCTTGCATTACCTTCAGTTCCCTCACTTTCCTCCCACTTAGTGACATCCCGATTGGTTAAATTGTCGCTGTGTGCAGACACATGCTAGGTGCTGGACAGGACATGGAACTCTTTGCTTCCTGAATAGGAATAATGTGACTGTTACCATGAATAAATATCTTTCTGGTTATGGATAGATGCCTTATCTGAATATAGTGAAGAGTGGCCATTGTCCTCTGAGTTTAGGATGATTTTGTTTTTACATGCAATGTACAAACACAGTACTTGCGATCATCGTGCACAAAGTAGAGTTCAGTACCTTTTTAAAAGAATGCTCGTCTCCGTGTCTACGCATCTCGCTGGCTAATATGAACAAAAGCAAGAACAATCCAGTCCGAACTAAACTGTGAAACTGCAGTGATTTAAGGGTAGTGATCAGTTTCACATCTAACATCTGCTTCAGGGACTGATGAAGAAAAACACTCAACAGATGGTAAGTGACAAGCAGCTCATCTTGTCTCCTGGTTAGTAGAATTTGATTAGATTGTACCTCTACTGTGCTTTTGTTTTAAAATGAAGGGAAATACACAGTGTGGAAGACGAGGTATGGTATTTTCTGTTCCAGCTTGTACAGTGGATTTAAATATGACTCTCAGACATGGATAAAATGGACTTTATGATCATTTGACCTTTCTCTGCTGTCTTCCATCCTGAATATATCCTTACTTCCAAGTCACCCAAGAAATAAATGAAGGAATTCTTTACTCTACTTTCCAACAGGAAATAAGGAATCCTATTGCACTTATTCCTGGGATTGATATTACTTCCACCAATGGATCAGGTGTCATTAGTGCTCAGATTTCAGAGCGAAGGAAGTACACAGACTAAATTTGGCCATTTGGAGCCCATGGGCAAAAGTCACAGGCACCAATAAGTGCCCTCAGATCACAGAGGAGGGTAGAAGGATCTGTCCAGACATCTGTATCATAAGATATAAACTGTACAGGGATCTTGACTAAAACATTGACTACGCTCCGTAAAGACCACAGGGTGAGTTTTCTGTTAATTCCTCTCATATTGGCAACATAGTGACATCTTGGCTTCAAGGCATATTTTAATGCATTGTTAGCTTTGCCTGCTGTAGTGGTTGTATCTGATTTTTGTAATTACTGATTACTGAAATGGATATTTAAGCCACTGAGCGTCTTTTTCAGATATTAGCAAGCGCAATATTATTAATGGCTCTCCAAAAAGTGACTTAGGTTATGTAAAAAGCTGCATCTGGGAATAAATTAGGAGAAGTGAGAGTTTTTTTTTCTGTATGCATTCAGATCATTAAATTATAATCTGGCTGACATGTTGATACAGCGTGTAGAACTGTCACTTCCAAGCCCACAGATTCCTGGCGTCTCTGGATTGACCCCCATGTGAGTGTGGACTAGTGTTCCACGCAGGACATAGTCCTGCCCTCTGCCCTGTGCCTGGTGGGTTAGGCTCCAGCTCCTTGACAGTCGATGGATGAGAAAATCTGTTCCTGACATAGTTTTCACCAGATTTAGATCTGACCCCTTTCTACCCTGATAGTGCACAAAGAGGGCTGTTGCTTGTTGAGGACTTAAGTGAGTGAGCATCTTTAGGAAGAGAAATCTGAATGACATCCTCCTGTGGAGTCACAGGAACCCTGCTTATATGAAGGCCTGCTCAGTGTGAGCTGCTATAGAGTCATCAGGCGTCTGAGGTACAAAGGAACAGAATTCACAGCTTTAATGCACACATTCAGTATCAAAAATAGAACACATTGCAGATTACGTTGTGTACACATTTCACAAATAAATTACAGAAATAAATTACATCTCCAAAGGTAGCAAATCCATGATGCTCATGAGCAGTGTCTCAAATACACAAGAAAGTCATACATTTCTCCTGGACTGTCTCCAACACAGAGACGAATCACTTTCAGTGCAGCCTTTCCATGCATTCTGATGCTGAGAATCCTTTCACATTCATGTTCCATCAGCAATGACAGAAACTCACGGTAAAAAATCCAGTTTCTCTCAATGCAGGACATTACAGATAGCAGTAAAAATACACAATAATACAACATACAAATAAATAATTCAGGATCCCACTACAGATCGGGATCTTTCATAAGCTTGAACAGTTATTTTTTAAATAGGCTGCAAAGGAACAAGTAATAGGTTTATTCCATGCTGAAAAAATGAAGAAAGAGAACACAACGTTTCGGCCGTGGAGCCTTCTTCAGGTGTGCACCTGTTCTCTTTCTTCTTTTTTTCAGCATGGAATAAACCTATTGTTTTTTTTTTAAATAGCTGTACAAAAAGATGTTCTTTAGGGTTTTTCAATGTCAAACACTGTGTGATCTAAGGTGTGTGTTAGAGACTGCATCCGAAATTTGTACTTCTGAGCTCCAATTAAAACGCAAATGCTGATGACAGACATTTCAGCTGTGTTTTTACTCTCCTGTGCATGTAAAAAAGACAGCAGAGATTAGCAACATGGTCCTGAGGTTTCATCTCATTCAAACTTTAGGCAATCTGCCCGCCCAGCTTGGTCTGCAATCGCAGCACATTATAATACTGGCAACTAATTCAGAGAGACTGAGGCTGCAGTCGTGTTCGGTATTTTCTAGAAACTTACGACACACTTCACTTTGACTCGCTTTTGGGGAATTTTAAACAAAGCAAAGCTCATGTTTCAAAATCCTTTCGCACATAAACAGCCGGCCAGCAACATGTTAAAATATTTGAAGATCCATCTTCCGGGAGCCGTGGGCGTCTCCTCCTGCGCCTCCCATGAGGAGTCTGCTCTTGTGGTGCGCGGGGGGCTGTGACCCCACGCCCACCCCGTCTCACGGGACCTCAGAGTTTTGAGGGGGCCCACGGGGTTAAATGACCTCCGTGTTGAGTTTCTTCTTGGGCTTGGGGGCCGGGGCGTGCAGGATACTGACCTTGCTCTCCTCCTCCGCGGGGGTGAGGGTGGGCTGGCAGCGCCGGGGGGCACAGCGGGCCCGGTCGCCGCGCCGCTGCCAGCGGCTCCTGAGCACGAGGGCGGCGGTCAGGCCCACCACGGCCAGCGTCATGGCGCCGAACACGAGCAGCACGATGAGCTGCACCTCCGTCAGGCCCGAGCCCGGGCGGGTCGCCACCTCCTTCACCGAGATCTTCAGCAGGCGCTCGCCGCCGCCGCCGCCGCCCGCCGTGGTCCAGCCGCCAGCGGGCGAGGCGTTCCTGCGCGGGCCCAGGGCGGTGCGGTCCGGACGGGCCTGGGTGACCCACGGGTGGCCCCCCGCCCGGGTCTCCGAGGTCCAGTGTGGCGCTCCGGTCCGGACCTCGGGGCTCGGCCTCCGGAGCTGGACGCCGCACGCCTTGCCAGTGTAGCCGCGCGGGCAGAGGCAGTCGAAGGTGTTGACGCGGTCGTAGCAGCGCCCCCCGTTGAGGCAGGGGCCGCCGGCGCAGTCGTCGATGTTGACGGTGCAGAAGCGCCCCTCGAAGCCCGCCGGGCACTCGCAGGTGAAGCGGTTGAGGCCGTCGCGGCAGGTGGCGCCGTTGGCGCAGGGGCGCATCAGGCAGTCGTCGACGTCCACCTCGCAGCGGGGGCCCGCGAAGCCGGCCAGGCAGCGGCAGGAGAACTCGGCGGCGTGCCCGCTGTCGTCCAGGCACGTCCCCCCGTTCTTGCAGGGCGACCTGGAAGGCAGAGAGAGAGCCGCGCTGAGACACGGAGCCCACCGGCCCTAGGCAACGGCTCCGCTCGTAACACCGACAGAGGACGCTGGGACAGAAAGGCCTGACCTTGGGCTGCCTCTGGAGACAAGCCCACCGAATCCCACGACCGCTCTCTTCCGCTCACGCCCGGTCCACACGGTTGGTCCCGAGCCGGCCCGTGTTTGTTTGGGGGCAATTAAAGCGGTCAACGGTAAAGGGAAATCGCACCGCGAGCTTTCGCAGAACGAGGCAAGAACCGGCAAATTCAACGCTGGAGACGCAGACGTAGAGGAATCTGCAGCTGGCGGCTCCCCTCTTCCTCCTTCCGGCATCACACGGGGCTCCTAAACAGTCTGGACTTCCAGCTGTTCCCCTCTACAGCAGTTGCCCACTCCTCCACCCCACCTGAGCGCCTGGCCGGGGGGCCGCTGTGTCGCCCAGGCGCTGCAGGTGGCAGATGGAGGTGGGTAGAAGCGGTGAGACCTGTGGGCTCACCTGGTCCTCTCGCAGGGCCCGATCTTCAGCTGGCAGTGGCGGCCGTGGAAGCCCTCTGGGCAGAAGCAGGTGTACTCCGCGTCCTCGTTGGCAATGCAGGTGGCTCCGTTCAGGCAGGGGAGCTGATTGCTGCACACGTAGATGTCTAAGGCAGAGGAAGGTTCACGTCAGGGGTTGGTCACTTGTATCTCGGATGCGTCACTGAAGAGGTGTTTTTTATTTACATTTTTAACAGGAATATTTTTTTACGATTCAGTCACCCTTTACTTTTGAGATTTTTTTTCCACATGAGCTTTATACTCCTTTTTTATTCTCATCAGATTAGCACTTTCTACAGCAGACAGCTGAATTGCCTCTGTCGTCACCCTGCGGCTGTAGAAATCTTTTGTCATCTGGTGCTTCATCGGTTTCACTTTTGCTCAGGCGTGTGTATATCTTAATAACAGTTTTACTAAGGCTGCAGTCGAGCTAAGCCAGGCAGAGTATAGTAATAATCTGTTTCCATTGTAGTCAAAATCAGAGTTAAAAAGCTTCATCGATTTCCTCATCCTTCCCGACACGCTGTGATGATTTAGCCGGCGGTTCTCTGCTGTAGGAGCTCGCTGGGGGACAGCTGCTCTGAGCACGCCCCTGTGGCAGTGGCTCAGTCTCCACTCTTACCTTTATCGCAGAAGCGCCCCGCCCATCCGCTCTCGCAGGTGCACTGCCAGGGCTGGTGGCAGGAGCCGTGCACACAGCCTGGCATCTTCACACAGTCCTCGCACTGAGGGCCCTCCCAGCCAGGGTCACACCTGCAACACCGAGCCTGTCAGACACACACAACACTCCCTGACTCACACACACAAAACACCTCATTGACTGACACACATAACACACCCCTGACAAACACACACAACACACTCAGGACTGAGGGCCAACAACACCCACCTGATTCACACACACAACACACTCCTGACTGAGGCCCACAATACCCCCTTGACTCACACACACAACCCACTCCTGACTGAGGCCCACAACACCCCCTTGACTCACACACACAACACACTCCGGACTGAGGCCCACAACACCCCCTTGACTCACACACACAACACACTGCGGACTGACACACACACACTCTGTGCCCAGAGTGAGAGAATAGAATATTGGAGACCAGACTAGTTTCAGAGATGTCTCAACCTAGAAACATTTGTTTCAGTTTTCCACAATCTTTTGGCATATGATTTTTTAGTTTCTAAAGCAAAATGCAGTAGTTATATGCATGAGTCTTCATAGAAGCAGAAGAAGACTTTGATGTTTTGGAAACTAGGTTTCTTTTTCTCTTGTGTGCGGAGGATTTCATCCTGATTTACTAGACAAAACCATTTTGCAGTGCTTGTCTGTGTTTTGGCCATTTGCAACCATGACAAGAGACCAATGATTTTTCGCTTTGGATTTTCTCTCCATACTCCATCAGTTCACATCGGAGCTCATGCTCAGTTCAATTCACTTAGCTGGTGTGAAAAACCTGACCCAATTTCCTCTGAAGCAAAGTGCTCCTTGCAGTACCTGTATTTTGACAATAGGGGGCGTTCAATATCAAGAGTAGCATTCTCCCATCGCAGCACTATCGGTATGATCAGTACGATGTCCTGACTGCCAGTCGAATGTGGTTTCCTATACATTAATGGAATGCCACTTGCCTATATTATAGTCGGTGGTGACAGAACTGGCTGTTTGTCATGAGCGTCCCTTCAGGCAGCACAGTGGAAAAAGTCAAAGCGTAGCTGTGTTGCTCTATCGCTCCAGCACCGGCAACGATTAACGAGCATGAAAATAGACCAGTGAGTGTAATTCACTCCAGAGGTGATTATTAAATTCATCACAGCATTAAAGAAGACCTCTAGGCAACAGCTAATTCTGTTAGATTAGTACAGGCTAATTAGCCAATTGATTGGCCACAGGAAATTGTTGATACTGAGGTAGGCAGGGACTCTTTCATTGAAAGAGGAGTGTAATTAGTTTGTAACAATAAATGAAAGCAGGAGTTTTGGGCTGGAAATCCATTTAAATCTAAGAAACAAATTATTTTTATGATGTTTATTTTGAGCTCTGTCCGGCTGGTCACTGCTTGGAGATAAAACAATGTCAGAGAAGAGAAAAAACTCGCAATAGATTGGGGTGTGTGCCAGGGGTGGGATTGTCTTTAAACCAGGAAATCAATGCGCTATTCAAGCTCCGTATCTCCTCTATATCAAACGTCTGTCTTTCTGCTATCCCTGCCATTGAATAGACCAAAGGCATAGCTCACTAGTGTTACTGATTCAATCTGGGAGACTTAATTAGGACAATACATAATGAATAAACAGAAGTTAAACAGTGTGTTTTTAAAATTCTGGTACATTCTTAAAATATTTACTAGTTGTAGCTAGTAAATGTTTCAGTTCAGTTCTGGACCTAGGGTGCTGTCTGTGTGGAGTCTGTATGTTCTCCTCATGTTCTTGTGGGGTTCACCCGGGTGCTTCTGTCTCCTCCCACAGCCCCCCTCCCCCCAAAAATGGTTAATTGGCCGTAATTGTCCTTCCGTTTAGAAGCCGGTCCTGTCAAAGTCAAGATTAAATCAAGACGAAAAGGAAGGGAGGGTCCAAACTCCCCCGAGAGTTTAATTCCGGACCCCGCGTTCCCCCACCTGCAGGTTCCAGCGCCGTCACAGCGCCCGTGCCCCAGGTTGCAGTGGGATTCGCAGTCCCCGTCTGTAACGCCGCAGAGAGAAGGACAGCAGTTAGCCCCACAGCATGGAGCAGCAGCCAGTGGGGGGCCCGGCTGGCGCACCCTCCAGCACAGACCCGCCCCCGGTTTATTCCAGCGCAGCCAGCTGTGTAAACACCTGCCAGCGCTGTTGGAGGGCTGACCTGCCGGGGACTAGATCCGATCCAGGGGCAAGGAAGTCTCTTGCGTTCGTTTTGCTTACAGCTCCGGGAAATGGACTAAGCTCTGACTCTGTGGGCTCGTGGGCTCATAAGGGACTAGACCGCCTTCCCTGCCCCCTGCCCCCTTCACCAACCACACGCACGCACCTCATCTCGACCTGCCTCTCTTCACTCTGCAGGCCGAGCTGGAGTTCCAGTAAGCAGCAGCACCGAGAGAAGCAGAGGTCAGGTCGGAGGTCAAGTGTTTCGTGACTCAGAGCACAGCAAAACCAGGGGTGCAGCAGTTTCAGAGGGCGCAATGCATTGAGTTAGAGCATAAGAAAGCCTACAAAACCAGAGGGTAGAGAGAGAGAGAGGTGCCCATCTGGTAGTTCATCGCTAACTGATACAAGGGAGGAAGCCGAGGTATCATTTCAACCCCATGGCTGGGCAGCTCTCTGTTCCAGACTCTCACCACCAGAGCCGTATTCCCATGTCACACCCCTGCTCACTGAACTCCACCAGGAGATGGAATGATTGGAACTCCCTGCTAACAGATAAGCAAGAATCTCCAAATCAAACGGACAATGAACTGCACATCAGTGTGAGCTGTCAGTGAAATTAAAAGTGTGTCTGCACTAACTCTATGCAACACCTTGGTAATCCTAAAATAATACACATTTAATACAAATAGGGAGTTAGGATACTAATGCCTTTCAGCTCAGACATTTTTCCATTGGCTATAATGTTAAGGCATTAAGTCACAATGAAGATGTTTGGTAACACAATTCCTACTGCTGCCTTACTGCTCTTAGCTCCTGGGTGTGATTCCAAATGTGGACACCTTCTGGGTGGAGTTCTCGTTGGTGTCAGGGGGCTTTTTCCCAGAGGTCCTCGTTTCCTCCCACGCTGGCCAGGGTAATTGGTGTGTCTCGCTTGTCCCCATGTGACTGTGTGTGAGGGTCTGGTTATGCACCTGCTCTGAGAGTGTAAGCTTGTGCCTTGTGTTTCTGGGACAGGATCAGCGCTGCTGCAAGTCTTATCACAAATAACTGGCTTTCTGTCAGTGGATGGATGGATGGAATGAATATTATATATATATATTATGAGAATAAAATAATATTAAGAGTATAAAAATAAAAAATAACATTATGCATCTTAGGAAACGGACATTGCTATTTTACATGTCCATCAACTTGCAGGACTGCAGTGAATTAAAAAATAGCTGTAGAGCACCTGATTAGGACAAAGCACGACTGTGAGGTATTTCTTGTCTGACATGCAGTTCCATCCCTGGATGACACTGAACTTTTGGTGGGTCCTGGGACTGGGTTTCCACCCGTACCCTGCGATTACTATCAGATGACATTTCTTTTTGCAGATTTAAACTGATTCAGTGGATCAGGATAATCAGTGCCCTAGAAAATGATCAACTTAGTGTGGTAGCAATTCAGAAGGACTCACGTCTGCCACTCCCTGGTGCGCTTAGTAGATTAGAAAAGGTTGGGGGTAGAGACCCTTGAAGATCGTGAGGAGGTACAGTACGGTGCTGCTCTCTTCCAGTGCCTTCTTTGGGAAGGTGGATTTCCAAGTTATTCTGCAGGGGCTTTCTACAGTTCTGAGAAAGCCGTGAGAATGTGAGAATTCCTTTATTAAAGAGCGCTGCATTGTGAATGCACACCTCTATAAATAAACACCAGTCGTTTCCGAGAGAAATCAATTAGGAAGTGGCGCTCTGTGATCCTGTCGCAGGAGACCATACGCTGTGTGCAGTGTGGCCTGCAGGCAGTCTGTCAGGAGCAGGGAGAGCCCCCGTTGGCCCAGAGCAGCTGGTTAACACCATGTTACAGCTTAAAGCCGCTTGCTTAATTGGTCCTGACAAGCTGCCAGAATGCAATGCTATAGACTGATTCATAATCTTGTGAAAACATTATTCTCTGCTTCACACTGGGCGCATACTGGCTTTGAAATGGGAAATTAGGCTCCTTGTGTCATTTTCTTCATTTAAAATCGATTAAAGTGCATTGAATGAGACATCTCTGAAAGTGTTATATTATGGCAAAGAATACGCACAGTGTCCAAGACAATCTGTTGTCTTTTTTAGCAGGTTTTTTTTTTTTACTAAGTAGCACCACTTAAAACAGAAAAGGTTTTTGTCTGATGCGTTCCTGGGTTGTGCTTCATAGCTGAATAGAGGGGCCGGGCAGCACATAGCTGCTGATGACAGATATTGTCGAGGGGTTTCAGCGAAGGAGGTGAGGAATGCACAGTGATCATGTCACCACCCGTATGGGCTCTGCCCTGACACTCCTGGAATTCCACATTTCTTCCTGTTTCTGGCCTTGACACAGGAGTTCCTGTTTTCCACCGAAGTTATCTGGTCAGGGCAGCACAGCTAGACCATCTGGAAAGCTCACAGCAATGTCTATTCCATGGCAGAGTCAAGTGTAAGATCACTTGAGGTGAATATCTGTGTGATGTTGGTGGAGTTACAGTGGCCTCTGTGCGTATATATGTATATGGATCCAGTTCATAGTGGTTCAGGTTTTATTCAAAATGTCCATTTTTAAGTTTTAAAGATGTTATATGCTGTTAAGGAAGTGTTTTTCTATATACTGTCGCAGAAACTGAGCAGTATACAATGTGAAGCAACTCTGAGTAATCTTATGGCTGTTCATTTGGATCTGGAATGTCAGTTTAAAAAGGACAGGAGCTGAGCTTTTTGGTCATTCAGAAACAAAAATCTTTGATTGGCCTGGAGAAGCCGAGGAGCGCAGAACGTTGCTACTGAGGACTGTGAAGCAGGAAGGCATGGTGGAGCAGTGCTGGGCGCACTTCCGGACCTGAGGCTCTCCCTGTGTTCACATGGGTGTCCTCCAGGTGCTCTGATTTCCTCCCATGATCCAAAGACATGCTGTACTGGTGGATTAACTGGGTTCCTGAAAAAACGGCCCTGGTGTGAGTGTGTGCGTGTTCGTGTCCGCCCTGCAAAGGACTGGCGTCCTGTCCAGGGCGTACCCTGCCTGCTGGTGCTAGGCTCACGCTCCCCCGCAGCCCTGCACTGGAGAAGGCAGCGAGAAAATGGCTGGATTGTAAAGCAAAGGAAAATAAACCGTTACAGTGCCCCGCTCTAAACCAGCTTGGAAAATGTGTGGTGCGCATCTGAAAGGAATATTAGCAATGGCAGGAGAATACAAGCTCCTGGGTGATGCAGGAGATGGAGAAGGAAATGGGATGCAGGGAAGGCCTGAGTTCAATAGAGACCACTTTGTTTTCACTTGTGAGATCGATTCGGGAAGTCATCACCGTTCACCATTCTGCCTGGGGAATTCTGTGTAATTCTTCAGTGTCCAATAATCTCACCTCAGATTCTTGGTTTTAAATGCACTTCTAATTAGTTTCCCCTCGTGCCCTCTGGTTCCTGTATCTTTATCGATACCTTTGGGTTTCGAATTTTGCAAAACCCCCTGCGTTGCAAGGCAGCAACGCTAACCACAGCGCCGCAGTGCCACCCTGCTGCTTGTACCACCTTATCTTATTATCAGCATCAGGAGGTGTGTGGTGCTCTTGACTTGTACTCTTACGCAGTAGTACTTAAATGAAATGAGTGTCCCTGGGGCTTCACTATGTTCCACTGGCTGTGTAAATCAGAATTCCTGAAGGGAGTTTATTGGAGCGTCTCTGCGGATACCGTAAATCGCTGGATCCCGGAAGACCGTAGTGAAAGGAAGAGGCTCGGGCTTTCTTTCCAGTCCTCCAGCTGGTCGGAGACACTGCAGGGTTCTAGCCATGGGATCCTAGCCACACAGCTCCACAAACCGGAGGCTCGCCCCTGAGTCCCAGAGATTTCCCAGGATTTGCAGTACCCCTCTGGATAAATATATTTGCCCTACCGGTGTGTGTACGTATTGCACCTGAATTGCAATAACATTTCTTTAAACGCTAATATTTTCATCAAACCCCCCCACAATGATATTAAACTGGAACCCCCCGATCCTGCGGGTGTGGCGACGTCAGTGATAAGACTAGAGCTAGCTCTGGGATGCTGAGCTCCACATCCCCGGCCCCCGGTCCAGCACCTCTGTTTCTCAGAGCCCCCGGGTGCTCTGCTCTCCTGACACGCTGACTATTTTCGTGTTAAAACCAGAGGGATCTAATTTTACACCCTGCGCCCTCTGCCTGGAAACTCGATCTCTCAGGCCCGCAGCCGCCCAGTGCCAGCATGCTGGTGCCAGTGATAAATGTGGTTTCGGTTTCCTCAGCCCTGATCCCAGGCAGCCGGGACCCGACAGTTAGCTGCTCTCTCGGGGAAGTGTGCGGGGTGTGTGCGCGAGCAGGCACGCGTGTGTGTGTGTGTGAGTGTGAGCGTGTGTGTGTGAGCGTGTGTGTGTGTGAGTGTGTGTGTGTGAATGTGAGTGTGTGTGAGTGTGAATGTGAGTGTGTGTGAGTGTGAATGTGAGTGCGAGTGTGAGTGTGAGTGCGAGTGTGAGTGTGTGTGAGTGTGAGTGTGAGCGTGAGCGTGAGCGTGTGTGTGTGTGAGTGTGTGTGTGTGAATGTGAGTGTGTGTGAGTGTGTGTGTATGTGAATGTGTGTGTGAGTGTGTGTGTGTGAGCGTGTGAGCGTGTGTGAGTGTGTGAATGTGAGTGTTTGTGAGCGTGTGAGTGTGTGTGTATGTGAATGTGTGTGTGTGTGTGGTTGTGCTACACAAGGAAGACGACAGAGGGCCCAGGGCCGAGAGCGAGGGACGGAGGTGGTAAAAGAAACTGTAAGGGGATCTCTATGAAATTAAGAATCATTAAATTTCACCATCCGCTCAGCTGCTTGCGCCGCTAAAAAAATATTTAGCCAAGAAAGTCAAGATGAGATGCAGCACCTTAATCCAGGACTGCGACTGCTGCTAGGCGTGAGTGCGGAGGGCCGGGGGGAGGGGGCGCCCCCACAGACTGACTCTGCCATGGAGGTTTATTCCCATACTGTGGGCGCCGTACGTCAATCAGAGAAATTGGCACTAACCCATGTATGTATGTATAAGTGTTGGCACCCTCCATAGACAATAACTTTTTTATGTTATTCACTAATTTACTAAGAGCTACACTTATTTGGCAATGATATCTCTGTTCTGATTAGCGAACACACCTTGCTAGTAGGCTGTAGATACTGTATCGTATCAATTGAATTTACTACTGCATGGGGGCCAGTACTCTGCAGCTCAACAGATGGAGTTCTCTATGGTTTGCTCAGGTCTATCTGCAGTTTGAGCTGCGACTATACATACTGTACCCCAGGGGTCATTAGGGTACTTAGCCCTGCAGTAAATGGGGTCTCAAGCACAATACAAATAAGCGCCCACATAGCTTTCAGTCCTACCTTGCCCGGCACATCTCGGAGTCAGCAGCCAGACGCTCAAGAGCAGCACATGGAGGCTGAATCTGTGAAGCATGATCGCAGGAGCAGGCAGCACAGCACTGTTTCTGAAACAAAGTGATGCCAAATGTTCATTTCGTTTTAAAGATAAAAATCAGAGTCAGTCCAGCCTCATACACCACCTGGTTAAAAAGCTTTTTCATTTGTGTAAATGTCACGGAAGGCAAGGCTCAATAGAGAGATTGTTCCCACTCTACAGAATAGCCATTTGGGTCGATTGCAGCTGTCAAGAAGTGAGAAATAACTATTTAGCCCAGCCCAGCTGAGACCGTAGCCAGAGAGACAATGCAGGAAAAGAAAATAATGACCCAAATCACCAGGATGTATTCAAACAAAACCCAGGGCTTTTTGTCTGTTGAGCTGTCCAGAGTGCGGTATCTCTCCCGCAGACCAGTACACGCGCCAAGCATTGCAAACAAGCCGAAGGAGCTCAAACAGAGTAACTGTATCGCCCCACAGGGAATAGAAACACATCAATAATTCAACAGAGACATTAAAGTTTTAGATGGACATTTCCAACTATGAACTTTCAAAGGTAAATTCATCCTTTTTGCTTTACATATTTTAAAAAATGTCCTTATGATTTTTCCTTTGAAATTACACTTTAAATGATAATGTGTTGAAGATTTTATTGTGCAAATATCAGTTAAGGGCTCCTGTATATTTTCTGTTTAATGACAACATTAAACTGGAGGTACATTTGCTCTAGTTTCAGAAGAATTGCTTATTGACAACATGGAGATGAACAGAAACTGTGACAGTTTACACAAGATTCCTATGTTTCAGGGCCATTGATACCTAGTTCAACGACGGAGCAGTTTGTTTGGGGGGGTTGTATGTTCTTTGAAGGTGTATACTGGCGAGAAGGACAGGAAATGTTGTTCCTTATCCCTCAAGATGTTGTTTTTCAACGGTGCCATGGTCTACCTGCTGCGTGCTGTGTGTTTATACCCTCCCCAGTGATATGAGGAGGTTGCTCCCAGATTCCTGATTGAGAGAAATTGTTGACCACATTGTGGTTTAATTGAGCACTGAGGGCTGATAACAAAAGCCAAGTCAGAAAACACTTTGAACATCAATCACTGGAGAGCTCTGTGGTGCTGTATTAAAATGTTTCTCCAGGGCTACATTAAAAAATACAGGCATTTCTCCTAAAGTAGATGCCCCACAAGCTACAGTATGTCATTATCATCTGTTATTCTCTAACAGCTCAGCTGCAGAGTATCAGTTTCTGATCCATATCTCCCTTCTCTTAAAAACTGGTATTTCTAAACTGCCAATCGATATATTTTTAGAACCGCATTCAGAAACCTCTACAATGACAAACAATGCCACTACTTATATTGTACATAATGTGGGGACAATCATTACTGTTCATTTTTAAGATTTCCCGATAGAGAATTCACGATGTTTAACGTATCTTTTGACACTACAAATTTGGTTTAGTACGCAGGTGAAGGAAAGCAAAGGTGGCAAATTGCTGGTCGATAATAAAAATAACTCATTTTATAAGTAGACTCTCAAGAGGAGCCCTGAATGAGCTCCCACTACTTTATGTTAATGTTTTTGCAAAGTATCTTCATTAGACGGACTTTTAAATTGCTCCCCAGTTTGACAATTTGTGGCTGTGCCTGCAGTGAAGCCGCGAGAGCTGAAGTTGTAGAACTGTTAGGAAACAGCCGAAGAGTGAGAAGGAGACAGTCCAGTGATATTGTTGGCTGTAGGATTTCACTTTCACAACACTGACTGGGCTCCGTTCCACTGGAAAAAAATGTGATACATTTTTCTCTGGAGAAAACGAATTTCATCATGACCAGAAAAATAATTTTCTTTGTTACCATTTGTTTTTAAAGTTGATTTATTTACCAGATTCAGAGTTGGTCTCCTTTATTCATGCTATTTTGTTTCCAGATGATGATGATTTCAATTTAAGCTGTGCAGCAGGTAGAATAGACTTTCAAAGACTTTAGTTCAATTTGTCTTCTAACGGAATTGGTGAATCTGCAACCTTACTTGCCAAACACTGCAAGCAAAAGCTTTTTCAATACATTTCAATACAGTAGTATTCTGTTAAAAACATTCTTGTGCCATAAAACAGCTTCCCACAACCAATTCTTAACCAATTCTACGTGCTTTAACCTTCACACGCTTTATATATTTTGCTGAATAATTTCCTTGCTAGGCAGGTTAATTTAACAGCAGTCACTGATACAACCATGAGGCATGATTACTTTCAGAAAACAAATTTTTTACAGAAATTTTACCTTTGAGAAAATGTTGTCAATTAGGAAACTGAGAGAACGGTGCAAACAGAGCAATACCATGATGAAATAACTCTGCAGTGTTCACAGAAGAAAAGATTTGATTTCGGATATACTCATTTGGAGAGATCAGCAGCTCATGTGCATGAACTGGGAAACAGATAAAAAAGCCAGGATCTGTGAAAGACACCGTTCAAGACAGAAAAAATCCGTCATCAGGAAAAAAAGAAGAGCAGATGAAATCTTCCTGTCACCTGTATTGTTGTGTAAAATGTATTCTTTATCATTAAACTACTCACCTCTCATAAGATCTATCTTAGTATTGAAAAATATTGTTTCTGTTGTCTGCAGATGTGCTTCTCAAGTAATCATTTTAGAAGAGTTGTACCACAGAGCAAGTAAGGACACACAGAATAAGAGAATATGTCAGACTCACGCAAGGCTATGCCTGAGCGGTCTGTCTGAGCTGCACTCCCAAGGCATGAAGCACACCCTGCCCCCAGACACATACACACCTGTGACGTGCAGGATCGCAGCCGGACAGTCCTCAGGTGAGTGAAGAAACACAGAGACACAGACTCAGGGGCCGGCGGCAGGGCTCTCCTTGCCGGTTCTGTTGATATAAAGCCCATTGAAGCTAAAGAGACAGAATAAAGAGAGCAGGGAACCGCCTCCCTACTACACGACAACAGAACCTGGCAAGGAGCTACTCTTAAAGGGACAGGCACTCCGTTCTCCGCCGCCCCGTCTGGCTGGGGCCGGCCGGGGTCACGCCACTGGCTAGCGCGACGGCAGGGCTCTTCTCCGCCAACTGTGCCGAAGTTTCCTCTGCAAGCTGTTGTCCTTCCTGTCTGCTGTCTGTTGTTTTGGAGAAGATACACTGCTCGTGTCAACAGATAACCCTAAAAGAATCCCTCTTCCAATCAATATCTTTGAAGAAACACAACTCCAAGGCAAACTTTCCTGCAGCTGCTGAACTGTGTCTCTTACACGTGACCACAGATGGATGTAGAATAATAAGTGCATTTTGATAAATTCAGCTATACAGATATGCATAGCCTATAATATTTAATGCAAGTAGACATATGGCCTTTGACATGGTCACCTGTGTTTTTCTTTGATGTTGGCAACATGCATTATAAGCACTGACATTAAAGCTGTTGCTGTAGCAACAGATAAGAATCCATTGAATTGAAGGCATAGAAGTGGATTCTGCTCACATTCCAGCGTAGGGAATTGTAGCCGAGCGTAATTTACAGGGGATTAGTTGAACAATATGAGGGCTGCATGGCTCTTACATGCATCTACATGTCTGCCTGAACAGAAGTATGTTTTTAACAATGCTTCGCATATTTACTAGGAAAAGTATTTGTGATTTGGCGCAGAGCATTTTCATGAAGACGTGTGTGACTGGCGCTGAAATGTGATATCCTACAAAATGTGTTTGTACACAGCCATGGTCCTTTGACATGTTGTCAGGGTGGTAAACACTGTTAGCTTCCAGCGGTGTTTGTTCTTGTGTTTGGAAGCAATTGCACTGTTTGCCTATAAGTTTGAATGCAACAAGAATGTACTAATGTTGTGCTGTTATGAAAAGGGTAGAATGACTCTTTAGCTGTAACAATTGCTATGTTGGCACAAAAGAATTAAACTGTGGATATTTAAAATAAATTCTAAACTTCCCTTCTTGTTCGAGGCAGTAACATTTACCCCCAGAGCTAACAGGTTCACAATTGGCCTTTTATGCCAGGTCTATAAATCCATCAACTTTCAGGAACAACACACTTCCCTTAAAAAGAGAAATTTTTAAACAGGGGATGTTAGAGGCAAGCACATTTCCCCCACCCCCTCTGGACTTTCCTTTATTCGACAGATGTGTTTCAGAAGTCTGAAACACATTTTATATTCCTGGAAGTGGTTATTGTACCAGTGGCTAAACAGTGGCTTGTTTTCACAGCGCTGAGAAAAATAAATCTCAGCCTCGTTCTCACGGTCGCAGCAGTGCAGACGTTTGCGATCATTTGCAGCTCTCAGTAGTACAAGCTGTCATAGTGCAAGATGTCACTCTCGGTGCAAGATCGCACTCTCAGTGCGAGGTCTCACTCTCAGTGCAAAATCACACTCTCAGTGCGAGGTCTCACTCTCAGTGCAAGATGTCACTCGCAGTGCAAAATCACACTCTCAGTGCAAGATCACACTCTCAGTTCAAGCTCTCACTCTCAGTGCAAGATTGCACTCTTAGTGCGGGGTCTCACTCTCAGGTGAAAACTGGTGCTGTGTAGCACAAGCAGCAATCCATACAGGGGTGAGAACAGGTAGTGAAGTGAACACATCTCATGTCAGAAAAAAAAAACCAGGAACAGTTGTGCAAAGCTGAGTGGTCAAATGGTATGCAGGTTATGGCAGGAATTCCAGTGTCACAATTATTTTGTGTTGAATTCCATTGTTGTGTTACTGCAGGGTAAAACACAACAACCTTTTCATACAAGGTGCCACTCCTTGTTAAAAAGCTCAGCAAAAATGTGTTGCATAATAATTCATACGTCCACCCTTACTCTCATTATACGCAGGATGTTTTCAACATGAGTCAATGCTGCACACATATAGTGCAGAGACATAGGGAGCATCATGAGACTGTGTGCCATCTAACCTACCTCTCATCCTTTTCTCTTACTTGCTGAGTTTGAAGATATTATGACTCCAAAAGTGCAGAAATTAAGTAAGGCAGAAATAGGTGACCGGCTCGCAAGCACAGCCCACATTTTAGGGGAACAGCTGACCCCAGAAACCTTTCTCCCAGCTAAGCAAACCAAATGTGTAGTCCCCTGACATTGTACTGCTGATGGAGAATTCACTGTCTCCATGGCAACCGGGAAAAGCGTGATTCGGGTGAGACAGGCACCAGATAGAGGAGGAAGAGTACCTTCGGCTCCTTGGCTGTGCTTTAAGCCACGTACCAGACATGCTTGATGTCTTAGCTGTTAGTGCTGACAAAGGTCTTCCCAGCTTCTCCCCATATCCTTAACACTTTCCTCTTCTTTATTACTGCGCTTCTAACCTCATTTTATTATCACATTTTTATATAAGCCCCCCAGATTCACTCATCTCTCAAGCCTAACAGTTGTCACCTGAACAAAGAAAGGCAAAATATGAGACTTTCAAGAGTGACTTATCATTAAAATTCAATCAATTGCAATTACAAGTACACACTAACTTTTTATCCACACTGACTAATAATAGAATACGATGTGGCTCTTGGCCTAGCAAAACACTTTCACAGGGATGCAACGTAAACTTCAGAGTACGTTTTTGTTATCTACAAAAATACATACAGATACTTCAATGCTTTTAATACCTTTCTTTGGAATGGCATCTTAAATCCTTTTCCCGAAGGGTCACTCTTTAGCTTTCGAGTTTCAGGTGTTCGTCAACAGAAAGTAAATGGAAAAATAAGCTCTGAAACCAAAAGCCGCAGGGAAGACTGATGCTGTCATTAGCCCACGCACCTGTTTTCTCAGGGCCATTGTGCTAGAATGGTATCTTATAGCCTAGCTCGTGGCCCTACCCTATAAGGGACAGTGAGAGTGGTTCCCTCTGTCCTTTTATAAAGTGGTGGAGGAGTTTCTGAGAGTGATTTAGAGAACACACGGCTCTCTGTTTCTTCACATTTAGAAAGACCTGTGCCCTCAGTGATCAGTTCAGCACCTGGAATGCCCACTGTGTAAAAGAAAGGCAGGCTCCTGACCCAGCACTGGAGCCTTCTCGCCAGCTCCTCTCTTTGCAGCTGAACTTGAGGAAGGGCGAAGGGGCGTAATGCATAATGCATAATGTCTTCATAATCTTTTCATCACCGCTACCCAAGATGTGACAGTCACATGCAAAATGCTTACACGGACATGAGAAATTGACATACTGTGAGCGTGAGAGGGCTTTGCACAATCGTTTTACCATTGTTTCTAGTGCTTGTTACTATCCAAGCTAAAAACCCTGCTAAAATGAATGTCTTGACCTCTTATGTACATGTTATGTCATTGGCACATGTCCCTATAAATTATTATGCACATGATTATGAAGCGGAATTTGTGAAGCACCAAGATCCAAATAAAGCTTTTACCCAGAATTCGTTCTTTAAGCTAAAATTGAGGCGAAGTACCAGATCCCCCGGGAGGATTGTAATTGAATGCTCAAGACCATGATGATGGGAAACAATGAGGGCTTGTCTTGCAGGTAGTGAGGGGACTGGTTCTGTAATGATGACAGAGTCATGTAGTGTCTGTGAGCTGCGCACTCAGTCTGGTTGCCCATTCCTCAGGTCCAGAGTGTGAGTGGAGGGGCTGAGCACATGGGCCACTCCACCACAGCCTCTCGCACAGGACCGAAACCTCTGTATGTGTAATGCCTCCCTCAGAACAACAGGACTGCATTTTTCTTTTCAGCTGCCTCCCAGAGCAAACAACGCCACCGCTGGCATGTACGCTCTCCGGCCAAACCATCAGGAAGGAGTGGACGGACTCTCCCAGGGGCAGTATTGAGGGGAACAGCTTGACTTCCCTTACCTCAACCCTACTGAAATCCTGTGGAACCCATGCAGTGTGAGTTTGGTCCCTCATGCCTTCATCACACCCTCCACCAGAGGAAGCCAGGATAGAAAAAGGGCTTACACCCCTCAGGGATACATGCACCTCCTGTGGCTCGAAGGGTCCCAGCAAGAACACAAGAGGGGTAGCAGACGAGACGAGGCCGTTCGACCCATCTAGCCCACTGAGTAAGTTAGTAGTTAAGGATCTCATCCAGCCAGGGTATCGGCTTCAATAACGTGGCTGGGTAGCTTGTTCCACACTCCAGCAACCCTTTGAGTAAAGAAGTGCCTTCTGTTCCTGGTTTTAAATGCACTTCCACCCAGTTTCCAGTTGTGCCCTCTGCTCCTTGATTCACTGTTTACACATACAACACTTTATTTGCCTGGGGATTCTCAGGCACAGACAGAAGACACGTTACACTGGTGTGCTCCTCTGATTTAGTTTCAGCAAGGCTGCCGCACACTTTCCAATCAGCAAAACCTCATGCAGCCATTTCAGCACAGACAGGCAGGGGTTTTCCAGCAGACTGAGAGGTACAGTGTCATGAAGACATGACATCGTTGGATATCTCTAACTGACGTAAATGAATAATGCTGATAATAATAAAACATGAAATGTTGCAGTCCCCTCGCAGCCATGCAGATCTAAGAGATGCTCATGTCTTTACCTTTCTGTTGAAGCTCCCAGTGAGCTCACCTCTATCTGCACAGATGGGGAGGCCAACAGCTTTTTATTCCTCTGGCCTGCAGTCAGTCAATAAGGGTTCTTTCAGCCTCGAGGACAGCCCAGTTTCCTCAGAGTTCAGCCGGTAGACAAAAGAGGTTATTCTGGGACAGACCCCCAAGCAGGTAAGGTCTTGCTTCCTGCAGATGGATTAGAGCCTCCTCAAAGTCCACGTTGACTACCTTTCTAAATCTCTCCTGCTCGATCTGGAGTAATCCGGCAGCGCAGTAAAACAGGGCGCCTTGTCTCCCTCTTCAAACACTTTGTCAGCTCACTTGTTGCCACAGCGTTAAATTCAGCCGTGATTAGATAGCTGCTGCTCACTTAGGAACCCACAGCTATTTTTGCTTAAGGACACTGAGTAGGGAGCTCCTGCTCTGCGCAGCTCGCAGACTTGTGAGAGTTCAGAAAGAGTGGCTCCCAGCTACCAGTGTGAGCCTTGAGAATCCCGATGCGCCGACAACACCAGCAGCTCTGTGGATGATAATGGGTCTTTGCAGGCTGAAGGCAAACATGTTCCTCCTTTTGTTTGCTTTCTGAAATATAGCCCGACTAGCCTTTGATCCTCGACCAGATTGGTTCAGTTTCAGTCTGCCGCAGCCCCACATGGAACTATCAGATTGCTAATGCTGCATTTCTAGCAGGTCTCCAGATATTGTACCCTGGCAATAAAATCTTATTCATGTGCTTCAGCTTTTGTGTTGGGATCCAGCTCGCTGCTTCTGTCTTCCTGCGATGTAGCTATTTCCACTTTTAGCAGTCTGTGCAGGATTAACTGATCTGTTTATCAAATGCCAGCGAACAAGCAATTTACTCCGGGCCCTGGTGGATTTCTCAAGCTGCTTCCACAGCCTCGGGCATCAGGCGGGAATGAGCAGGAATGGTAATCCAAAGAGAAGAATGCTTTCCAAACCATTTCAAGAAGCCCGATATCTTCTGGGTTCTGATATTTTCATCCCATTTATTGCATGCCAAATAACCCTCGTCTTGATTCCCCCTAAATCCGTGTGACATCTGGTTGCTTGTGCCCTGCTATCCTCATAAGCCTGGATAAGGAGCGCTGATGGCCACAGCCTGTTAGCTGAAACCCATGGAGGGAGCAGCTGAATTCATAGCGACGGAGAGGACAGAGGCAGCGTGATCTCCATGCTCACCTCGCAGGTGAAGCCCAAGTCCAGACCCAAGTTGAAGAAAGACCCAAGTGCACCTATGGGCACCAAACTCTTCCTCAGCATTGCTCCTGCTCTTGCGCTTTCGACTCTTAATTTTGGCATTCCTCGTACAGATATCTGTTTTGTAACGGGACCCCTCTGTAGTCATTAACACCCTGTCTCCCCTGAGAGCAGCAGGCTGGCATTGAGAATTAGCGTTCCATAGCTAGGATGCTCCTCTCCTGTCACTCTGGGAGTTGTCCCCTCGCTGCACTTTCAACAAAATGTCCTGGCATCTCCTGTGAGTGCGCACAGAGGAGAGGGGTGGGGGGCAGCCCAGGCTGTGGCCGCTGTGTAACCCTAACCCCATTCATTGTTCTGTGGCTGCAGCTCTATATTTGACACATCTACTCACACTCCTCCCAGTGCTTCATATTCCTGATGCCCATCATGGCCTTTGAAATAGCCACCCGAGTTCAGAGGTGGCACGTTAAAGGAATGGGGCAGCTGTGAAATGCCTTCGTCCTAACTGCTTGTAATCTACACAATGTGAGCTATCCATCAGCAGGCCCAGGGCTTTGATGGGGAGGTATTAAATGACTCTCAAATATGAAGCAGGAGATGCCTCCTGGCCACCTGGTACAATATCTTGCCTGCTCGTTTTGCACGGAAAAGGCAACGACAAAGCCGAAGAGCCTTGACTCGAACACAGCTGCTGGACGATGAAACTTGGCTTGTGGTCCATTACGAGGTGAGATGACAGATAAACACTGATCTCCACCCAGAACGCCAACACTGCATATACCTCCCAGGAAACGCCAATGATCACCCATGCGTCTCAGGTGATTCACCGTGTTCTTAGAACACAGGCGACACAGTGGCGAGACTCAGTTGACATTAAAAGGCCACTACCATTGGATATTTGTGCCTGCGCTGGGGCCCTGAGTTTGATTCTGGACCTGGGGTGCTGTCTGCGTGGGGCTTGTATGTTCTCCCTGTGTTTGCACGGTTCCTCCAGTTGCCCACCGTCAGAAAAATACTGGAAGGTTCATTGGCCTCTTGGAAAACTGGCCCTGATGTGAGTGTGTGTGCCCAGTGTGACTGGTGTCTCGTCCAGGGTGTACCCCGCCTTGCGCCTGTTGCTTGCTGGGATGGGCTCTGGCCTCCCTGCAACCCTGATTTGGATGAGGCAGTTAGAAAACGGATGGATGGATGATTTAAATGCCTTCCAGTAAATAGGACGTTAAAATGAAAACAAATAATTTGTATTTAAAATGAACAGAAATCTGTTCTGTTCTATTTACAGGAAGGTGTTTAAATGACACCACCAAGATTTTCAGATTAGGCTCAAGCTAAGATAGATGCCTCAGTTGTAAAACCTTCAAAGGACTCCCCCAGATGACAGCTATCTTGTTTACAGAGTATTTAGTGAAAACAGACATTGATATCTCAGAGGTTCTCTGGCGTGTGTGTTAAAGCTGACAGACGCTGTGCAGGAGGAGGCTGAAGTCAGCCCCACAGCCCTGTGGTAATGTGAGCCCGTGGAGGAGCAGTGGTGATTGATGGGCGAAGGGTGTTTGACCCCAGCTCGACCTCAGCTCTTTCCTTTCGGCGATGGACAGACACACACCCAAGGAACAGATAAATCCGAAAGAACTCATACAGACCCCATTCACATGGTATCTGAAACCGCACCAACTTCAAAAGTGCTTCAGATGAGCAACATAACAGCTCCTCTTGCTCCCTCATCAATCCTACAGCCAGATAAGGTTTCAGGAGGTTGTACACAGAACATTTTGGGGTTACCTTCCCCATCACTTAACAGCAGCACTTAAAATACAAGAGGGTCCTCCGGGCCCTGAATAAGTCCTTTTTCCCCCTGTCTTTCATTGTTTGAATGTCGGGATTCATAAACATTTGCTTTTCGTTCCACGCCTTCAAGATAGCCGGGCCCGATTTTGAACTGTCTGGTATGTACATTTGTTACCGGTGAAAGAGAGCTGCTGGCAGCAGGGCTGCCCTTGTGACAAAGCTCGTGGATTGTTCTGGCCGCCCGGGCTGGGCGGTTAGCGCCTTTCTGCAGTGGACAAGTAAGGACCTGCCCTCGCACACATCCAGGCGTACCTCCGTGTGATTCACTCCCTCGCTCAGAGACCCGCAGGAGTCTGAGTCACGCGGGAAGGGAGCCCGTCTCTTCTGTGGGCTGAGCGGCACCCCAGAGGAGAAAGGGGATGTGCAGGCTGGTCACTTCAGACCCCGGTGTTGTCCATCGCGAGCTGCTGAATAACTCCAGCTCATGCCACAGCAGGGCGACTGGTAGCTTTTATCTAGCAAGCAGACCATGGCTCAGGCACAGCATGTTGCCTCTTAATTTCCTTATTGGTTTAAGATCCGATTACAAAATGTGTTTCTAATTGGGACTAAAAGTACCAATTGAAAGCCCAAGGAGTTCCACGGGCTTCTCTTATTAAACTGCTTATAAAAAGTTTCATCCTCCCTAGTAAAAACACCACGCCGCTGGTGGCTGAAAACACAAATGTCATTGGCTTTACTAAGAACATGGGTTTGGCCACACACGAGATGATGCCTGGACATCTTAGTGATCAGTGTTATAAGTTTGTGTGTTATTTAGTACTTTATTGATTGCTTTTATAATAAATATATATTGAACCCGTATAATATACTTTAGATGTTTTTCATCTGTTTTTTGGAACAGAGCAGATATAGAAACAAAACAGGATTTTGGTTTCATTGTGGTGTAACACAAAGATGAGGTGAGCACTAATGAAGACAAACCACACATTTTCTAACCACTTCTTTCAGGATAGGGTTGTGGGGGAGCTGGAGCGTATCCTGGCAAGCAATGGGCACAAGGCAGGGCACACCCTGGACAGGACGCCACACACAGACACAAGCACACATTTCTGCAGAATCCAATTCACCTACCAGCATGTTTTTGTACTCTGGGAGGAAACCAGAGCACCTGGAGGAAACCCACATAAACATGGAGAGAACATACAAACTCCACACAGACAGAACTGAACCCAGGGCCCCAGTGCTGTGAGGCAGCAATGCTAACCTCTGCATCACTGTATTGCCCACGAAGACAATGTCTTGTAAAACCCAATTGAAAACTGCTATAACCACTAACGTTCCCAGGTAACTGCAGTAACTGCATTCAAAACACTCTGTGTCCTCTATTATTACTTTTGTGGGTTGAATTTTTCCCAAGCCTGTGTGTATCTCTGGACATGTCCTCATTTTGGCATTCTGCTCTCCCAAAATCAGTACCTCTTAGCTTATCTGTTCACTGTCCAGAGATACCGAACCAGTTCAAGAGTCAGTGAAAGTAGATTGACAGCACTGGAGCAAACCAGTCCAGTTCCATTGTTAAAGGCTTCTGGTCTGTTTGGTCCCTCTCATGTGAGGACAGAGGACACATCAAATAAGAACAACAGGAGTCTCTTCAACAGCAATAAAATATGAATGATCTGGTTGAGTGAGACAGGTAGTGGTATAGAAACACAGTAATGTATCCACAGCAGGAACAGCCTGAACTCGTGTAAGGCTCAGCGAGGGGCAGACATCTGATCCTCCCTGACAGAGAGAGCGTGTGGCTAAATTATTTATACACACCTAACGCAAAGATAAAGGCGTCTGCTGTAAAATCAATACGCGGGTTGTTCAAGTGAGATACACAATCAGGCACGAGAGGCTTATCACATCCCCGGCTTTAAGTCTCTATTTCAACCAGACACAAAGACAGTACAATAGGAGCTCAATGCAAACATATGAGACAGTGACAGTACCTTGCAAAAGTATTCACCCCTTTCGAATGATGTTCTGTTTTGCCGAATTTCAAGTGACGCATACCCGTTTCGCAGCTATTTTAAATTAAAATGCTCCTGTGGGCGTAAAAAGTGAACTCATCTTCCCCTCAATGTTGAGAAGCTGCCCAGCCCCTGCTGATGGGAAACAGCCCTGTTTGACAATCCACGCATGGCAGCAGGGACAGGCCTGACTGGGCGATGTGCTGAGTTGAGCTGGTGCCAGATGTAACATTCTGCATGTAGACCGAGAAGTTCCAATTTTGTCTTGTCTGATCATAATTGCTCTAATTTATCTTAGAAAAAGCTCTCTGTGGCTAAATATAATGTGTATTTATCCGTGCCCTTTTCATTTCAGCATTAAATAAATAATCTGGTTTGGTTTGGGGCGTGTGCTTTTTTCCCCCATGTTTATTGGATCAGCCTTCAAGCCCTGAGTTTATTTTGTTTGATATTATGAATAAAGCGAGAGTAAAATATTTTGTTTGCGTGATCTAACAGTCAGGGTGATTAACATTTTGTGTGGTCCCCAGACAAGAGTAGATAACTGCTAAATGCTCAGTATCCAAAGGGTACCGCCAGGAGGATGACTTTTAACTGTGGCCAAAGAGCTCGTTCTGTAATTAACATGACGACGTTACGCAACAGTATAAGATCACTGTTTTTCAGATGTGCTGAAAGAGAAGCGAATGTGTGCATTTCCAGCGCGAGACAGACCTGCACGAGGGAGCATAGCAGTACTGGTGCTGATGCTCTGGAAAGCACAGCGTCGTCCTTGCAAAGACCACACAGACAGCCAGGCGGAACTCTTGCTCTCATCCATAAAGTGTAATTTCTCTCACGGACCTTTCATTTCTAAGACTGGGGATTTTCAAATAAGTCACCATTTTGTAATGCCATTAGTTGGGCTCTTGCAAGGCTGGTAATGTGTTGTAAGGATCAGCCCTGACTTCCAGATGTCATGGCACCCTGCCCTCTTTCCTTATTTACTTGGGATTTTCTCTTTTCAACAGTGTGTAAAGAATAATCCCTCTTCTGCTGGCAAGCATTGTTTTAACAATCCCCTTGCTAATCCTTCCACTCTCTCATTAATTCTGTGAAGGATGTAGTTGCCTCACTCAAGTGTTTACAGTACATCATTCAGGCTAGTCTGAAGCACAAAGCTTTAAAACAGATCGACAGTTTTAAAGAGTTCTGAAGGGGTGCTGTGAAATTCTAAGAGCGTCTCCTTTATAAATCGGACCTCATTGCTATTTAAAACATCGATTATTTTTCTGTGTGTTTTTTTTGCAAGATGGGCCTCTTTCATTTCTGGTTTGTCAGAAATGCAGTAGAAACGTTGTAAAGTGAAGTATCAGACACATTCAGGTGACCAATATGAAACTCACATCCCATTTTTTAAAGAACAGGAAACGAAATATATAAAAGAAGCTCGTGGGTGACTGTCTTATGTCTCAAATAAATTCT